TAAAAGGAGCTGCTGCTGCCCGAGTATTTTCGCTCTGTTCTGAAGTCACTAATAAAGAGTTTGGAGTCACTATTCGATGCCTCGTCTCCGTTCCTTGCACCCACTCTCCCAGATCTAACACATATCTAGATGTTCAAGTTTAGTGGTTGGTACTGTGGAACAGGATTCATACTGCTGGACTTTCAAATAGGATTCATTATGAAAATATTATAACATATGCTCTTGTTCATGAGAAGATGGAAACCACTAAAACTGTGAATTTAACTATAATGTTTTGCAAGTTGGTTCATTAAAATGCAACTACTGAATAATCAAGCTACATTTTTTAAATGAATGAAAATATTTCAAGTATGTTTCTCACCATAAATATTTATCACACAGATTAGCATCAAGTTTCAAAAATCTATAAAAATGAACTAAAATTGTATTCTTCACCCATTCCAAAGCATGGGCAAGTTGTTCAAACATACTTCCTTGGCATAAATATCCAGAAATATATTAACAATTACAAATACTTCTATAACAAACTTAATGTATTTCTAAAATAGTTAATATTAATGTTGATCTAGCTGCATTATCTTATTTTCTAGAAAAAGGAAGCAAAAGATTAATATTGCAACTGAATAAGGATCTCTCAAGTTACAAAATTAAAAAAATTAACCTAAAATCTAGGCTACGTAGGGACTAAAATATTTCATACTGTTCAGACTATATTGCAGTGGACAGAAACATACTTTATTGCATGAACAGTACAGAGCCCATGCAGATGTTAAGAGCTATGTGTTATGAAATGAACAATTTTATCAATCATATCATACAAGATGAGTCTGAGATCCAAGTGTGGAAACAGGTCATCCTTTACTGCAAATTATTTCTTTGCTAGATTTTTTTTTTTTTTTTGGCATTTGTTTACAGGCACTAGAGATCAGAAATGGTGATTGAAAGTTTAAGGATACATCTAGCATTTCTGAATAGAGGTATTTATAAATAAATGTTTGAGGCATGTGTAGCCCACTGGCTAAGCAATATTAAAAAAATCTAGCAGGTTCAAAAATCAAAGTTGCCCACTATATCCATGCTTAATGCATAATTCCAAGAGCTGAATAATTGGAACACGCCCTCCTTTCAACGCCCTTCTGAAATTTTTGAAAGCCTGCTCAGTTTCTCATATTTTTAATACAGTAGTTACATGAGAAAGTTGCTATTCAGGAACCAGAATTTTTTTAAAAAGCCACTCCTTAATCACCTGCCCTAGACATGGAAAATTTGAATCTGGTCCCTCCTTTTTTCTTATTAGTTTCTCCGACAGTTCTCATTATTGTTTAATCCTCCATGCCAATTGCACATGTAAGAATTCAAAATAAAAAGTTAACACCTGCAGAGTTTTATTCTAAAACTGTTCTTATCTCCAAATTGGTTTCTGATCCAAAAGATATACAGAAGTCAATTTGAATCTTTAGGAAAAAGCATTTTCTCAAACTGAGGTGCGGTGGCTCAGTGCTTTTGTGAAACTGGAGATGGTCTCTGCTCCAGTGGTTTGAGCCCTAGCACTGCATTGTGGGGTGAGCTCCCATCACTTGCCTCAGCTTCAGCCTACCTATAGCAGTTTGAAAACATGTTCTATGCAAGTAGATAAACAGATACTGCTTCGGTGTGGAGATGAGCTGGTACTTCGTGCAGGTGATCAGATTCCTGCTGCTCTGAACCTTCCCAGTTGTGACACCCATTTGCAAGGTAGCACCAGTGGAAAGAGTGGGCCTTGGATGAGGAAGAGCTGCTTATCTTTCTTTCTAGTGCAAACCTAGCTCACCTTCCTGTGGTGCACCTGAATGTGTACCACAACAGAGCTAGTAAATTGGCAGCCAAACTACTACTCTGTATTAGCATTGTATTCTCCTGGCTAATGTAACAGTGCCAACTACTACTACTACTACTACTACTACTACTACAGATGATGATGATGATGTTTAATTCACTGTGAGAATTTAATTTAGCTGCTATTGTTGATTCCTGGAGACTGCCTAGATCACGGGTGTCAAACTCGATCGCATCATGTGACGTATCGTGACATTTTTTTGCCTTTGTGAAGCTGCGGTGGCCATGGCCTGAGCATGATGTATCCAACCCATGGGCTGCCAGTTTGACCCCCCTGGCCTAGACTCTATTAAAAAGTAGTGATATTTTCATTTTAAAATTTCCTTAGACTACTTTCCTGAAATACCTACAGTCCTACACATAGTTGTATGTTTAACTGAAGAAAATCTCAAAGCACTCAAATGGGCTTTTTTTTTGAGTAGCCTGACTACAATTACACTGCTTATTTTTTTAATGGACACTGTAAATCCAAATTAAAAGCAAAAAGAGAAGTGGATCCAAAATAGGAAAAAAGCAAAACATTTCAGATAAAAGTGTAAGACTACTCTCAATATATAATCTAAAACTATAAATTATTAATTTATAGGCAGGTACAAAAATATGTAAAAAGGATAATAAAAGTACTATACTTCCTAAGTATGCACAATTCACATAGCATGTAAAATAGCATCCATTCACTAAGAATATGATTAGATATTTCTCAATTCAACCACTTCTCATATACACATATCAGACTACAATCAGCAGCTTTGATTTTCTAGTAATACATAAATCCACAATAGATTGTCCAGAGATGTCTTACAGATTCTAAAGTGTATTGGATAGCTCCTTAACTTCTAATGCTTTCAGTCTGAATAGCCATAGATTATGAGCTGGTATGCAACAAGCTACCACCATGTTAATAAATATTAGCTATTATGACACACACATACCCGCACCATATGCATTGCAAAATAGATAAAAAATTATACAATCAAACAGAGCCTTTACTAAAACCCATTATATGACCTTTAAAAAACTGAAGTTTTCATCGGCATCTGATTAGAATGACAAGCTTCCCAGCAGATGCCAATGCATGAATTTGAAGAGAACGTTTGTGCTCTTAGCTTCTGCTTAAGAATGAATAATTTTGCAAGTACCATTTCCCTTGCTGTAGCACTGACAAGAGACAAAAGGTCACTGCCAAAATTCTATTTAGCATACAGCTAAGAGAGGCATAGAAATGCTTTCCACGGTCAGTCTTCATTGAATGAGGTCTGAGAATAGATTGCACTACTTTGTGCTTTGCCAGCTGTTGGCAAAAAGCCCACTATAGCAGTAAAAAAGAAATTCATTGCAGATATTTTAAGTCACTCAGTAAGTAGGGCAGAGAGTACACAGATAGCTCAGTTTAGTGCCATAAAATCAGTTGAAAATTAGATATTGGAGGATTTTTTTCAAGAGACTTACCTAAGAATGTTTTAATAGCTTATTAAAAGGATGTCTGAATACCAACGCTGTCTTGACCTTGAAGCATTCCATGTAAAGACAGTAACATGTAATACACATAGTACAATCTACTAAATTGTTAATATTACAGTACATGTCTATAAATATTTTTAATAAATTAGAAAAAAAGAATGATAAACAAAAGAGACAAATAACTAACCAAAGGCACTTTAGGCAGGAATTATAGTGGATACAAGTAAGGAAAATAGGTATTATACCTTTGTTTACAGGAAGAATCTTTCCAGGAAGAGGAAATGAGCCATTATGTAAAAGAGATACTAAGATATACAATGATTGTCAAATTTTAAGCTCATGGTGATATGCAAAAGCAGCAGAAATTTATCTCTAGATAAAATGCCTTATACGTTTTATTTAAAGAACCAAAATATTTGCTGCTTTTTAAATGGTTATATGTAATATCAACATAGTTCTGCTCAAAGGCAGGTCCTTTTAAAACTTCTTTGTGCACAGATAAGTATTGATTTCTTTGATGCCTACATTTTATCAATTCAAATAATATTGAAACATTTTTCCAATGAACTAGAAGTGCCTAGCTCTACACTAAGATGAGTTCTGATGGACCTGAATGATATTAGAAAAATGTTACTCTAATTAAATACTTCTAGGATGCATTTTTAAAATCTCTGTATATAGCTCTAGGGCAGTTTTCTGAATTGTATTGTTTGTCTGCCTTTAACCTGATCTTTCCAACATAGTTATTAGGAATATGAGAATGGTCTAGTGATGTATCTAGAAAGGAATGTATTAGAGAAATGATCATTTACACAATGCACGGTTTCACTGCCCTTGAATAAAATGGCTTTTATGCAGAAAATACTCTATTAATGTTCTATTTCTAGTGTGGCTGGATGTCTAATTCTTCCATTCTTTAATTCAAATAACTATGTAAAAGGTTTTGGATGTATGAAGTTGTTTTGCAATACATACTGATATCTTATTTACTCCAACAGTATTATTGCCAAAATAAATATGGGAGGGTGATTCAAAATTACTTTCTATATGCTTGTCCATAATGGCAGACTTTCCTCTGCATAGAAATAATCTGTAACTTCAGATTTTAATAGAAGAGATAGCATACAATCTACTTGTATACTTACTAAATTATGTTATACTGAGTACACTTTTTCATACTGCTTTCAATTTTCTCATAAATTTGCAATCTCGGATATATCTTTGGATTTATCACCAACAATCGTGACACATTAGTATTATAGCTACTATAGACCCAAATATCAGTTGCCAATAATGGGGTGAGAACTTGTGATAATTTTGATCAGAAATTCAATTTTTTCTGATTGTCTGTTTAGAGTCACTTGTTGACTGAAGTAAGTACACAGAAGTATACCGGACATATAAACTTGCAATTTTAAAATAAATAAGTATAAGCCATTTGCTTCAATACCAAGGAACTGATGCAACCATGTTTTCCCTCAGTGTTAAGAACAAAGTGCTTACTGAGTAACAGATTTATGCATTTCCATTTCTGTTAAAAATTAGTAAGTAAAAATATTGTTTTCTTATCATGAAATATCCCTTTGGAAACCTAAAGCCTTTCCATTTTCTATCATTGATAGAAGATAAGGCTTAGGTTTTCCTATATTATCTATACTTCCACATTTATTACTATTTTGACCAGCTAAAGATTTTTATACAATGCTGCATAATGAATGTAAAAAAAGAGGAATTATTACAAAGTATGGCATTTGATATAAATAAACAGGTGCAAAAACTACAGCAGCAACAGCGAAAAGAAGTGGAAAATATGCTGCAATCTTCAATAATTTACTGTAGGAAGAGAAAGAAAGAGAATAAAATAAAACAATTCAAGCAATAAGAGGTATGAGTACTTTTGTTAGTCTTAGTCTTTCCTAATCTCACATTGTATTTAATTTCAACTCCCACAATTCCCAAGCCAACATGGTTATGCTGACTGGAGATGCAGGTACAATTTATTGGTGGATGGGGTAATCAACTGGATACGCTGACAAAGCAAATAAACAACATATATTATTGAAGCAATACTATGGAGTAATATTCAAGATCTAATTACTTTGAAGAAAACATCCTAAAATATGCTAAGGTGGGAAATTGGAATTGTATCACCTCAGCTTATAGGAGAATCATCTACACATGGCTGACATTTAAAAGAAAAAAATGTATAAAGTCAATATAGATTTCCATTCCCTCCCTCACCAGTTTATAAGAGAGCAATTCATACAATTTCTTTATCTTCTGTAATAATCAACTATAAGAGTTGTCAGCTAGCAGAATTGCAAAATGATCTGAAATGACCTGAAATTTTCAGTTTATTTTTAGTATAGGAAACAGAAAAAAATAAATTTGGAACAAGATGAAAATAAACAAATCTCATCTACATCCTCTTGCTGCAGAGAGCTTTTGTTGGATCTAAAGCAGTTCTGAAAGCTAAAAGATTCTTCTTTGCTTTGATCCAATTCCTATTTATGTACTATAAGAAGGAAAAACAATTTGATACAAGAGTGTTCAATGCAGTACAATTTAAAACAAAGATAATTAAAGTACCTTGATTTAAGTTTTGTAGTACTTGTATTCATGAGTATACCCAAAATGACTATCAGAACAACAGCAACAAATCTACATGGATCAGGATCAAGTCTGATATGATATCTAATATAAAAGGAAAACACAAAGGATAATGAAAAAATATGTATAATGGATTTTTCATTTCAAAATAGGTTCCTAGTATGCTAAACTTGAACACTTGTGGTTCTAAGTTTTCTTGTAGCCATTTTATCTTTTAATTTTTAAATATTTTTTCTCTAGTTCTTGGCCTGCTAATTTACTGTGGCTACCTCTCACATTCTAAATCAACTGGACTGATTTCATCTACACATCCAAATACTTCATGAAGTCTTCTAATAGCACATATATTAGCTTATAGAGCCATCTCATAACAGATTTTTTTAAATAAAACCTGCAAATTTGGGGTGATTACCTGATATTTTTTAGCCAATAAATTAAAGATGGACAACTAAGAAGCACAATCCATGTGATTAAGTTGATGACTGTGACATGCATTTTAAAGCTATCTATAATGTTGTCATTGGCCATGGTGGTACTAGATGAGTTTCTTGCTTTTGAAGAGCAATCCTCTGATCTGCAGCTGTTCATCCCTTCATTTTTTGAATCATCTGATTTAGGTTCTGGGTTCTTCATCGGCTATAAAAATATATTTCACAGGTTTTTCAGCATTAGTTAATACAAGTATAAAGAGTAAATTGAAATGTCCACAAAACCATAATAACACAAGAGCACACAATAGATACAAACTCAAAGTTAACCACACCAAACTTGATTGCAGGAAATACGACTTCAGCAATAGAGTGGTCAATGTCTGGAATACTCTACCCGACTCTGTAGTTTCTTCCCCAAACCCCAAAAACTTTAACCTTAGACTGTCTACTATTGACCTCACCCCTTTCCTAAGAGGTCTGTAGGGGGCGTGCATAAGCGCACCAACGTGCCTACCGTCCCTGTCCTATTGTTTCTCTTATTCTTCTTTTATTTTTCTTATATGTACCCATTTCATGTATTCACAACTATGTATACACTTATACTTATTATCTTGTAAACAATTGGCAAATCAAATAAATAAAAATAAAATAAATAAATAAATAAATAAAATAAATAAAATAATTTAATAATAACATGACATAATTCAGTCATTTGAATTCATGAGATTATATATTGTTTTATTTCAAATCAGACTCCTTCCTGATGAAGGATTATTATTATTTTTAATTGCTATCCCCATCTTGGTTAGTTCTTGCAGCTTAGCACACATTCTATGGCAAATTTTTGCAGGAGATACTAAAAATAATTGAAAATAAATAAATAAATAGCTCTTTGTGTGTGTTTTAAGGGACCACCTTGCCCTGAACAGAAATAGATCATTTCCTTTTCTCCAATCATTTCCCTTACATATTGTGTCTTTTAGATCAGGGGTCCCCAAACCTGGCAACTTTAAGACTTGTCTTAAAGCTATTATGAAGCTATTTTCTGCCCCACTTCCTTTCATGATATTTAGTTGCCTCAAATGCTTCGACTTCCTCTAATGGTGCTATCGTGACCCTGCATTATTATGAAGAATTATTCAAGCACCGGAAACACTAAAATAAAACAAGTACTGTATTTTTCGGTGTATAAGATGCACTCTCCCCCCCCCCCAAAGTGGGTGGAAATATCTGAGCGTCTTATACAGCGAAGGTTACTAAAGCCCACCCACCCACCGGCCCCCACCCTTCAGGGTCTGCCTCCCAGCAATTTGCCTCCTTGCAGCAAACAGAAAAAAGCCTGGTCTGCTTCAGCACAGCCTGATTAGCACAAGCAGCTGATTGTCAGTTGGATCGGCCTCCTGATAACCAGCTGTTTCAGGCTGCAGAGATTGCCATTGCCTATTGCTGCCTCCACGTGCCCCATTTTAGGCCTTCGCATCCCATTTTTGGCCTCTGTGTGCCCTGTTTTCGGCCTCCACATGCTCCATTTTCCACCCATTCCAATCCCCACTGCCCGAAATGAGCCAAAAATGAGGCATGCGGAGGCCGAAAACAGGGTATGCGGAGACTGAAAACGGGATGCGGAGTCCAAAAATGGGGCGCACAGAGGTGGCAATATGCGATGGCAATCCCTGCAGCCTGAAACAGCTGATCCTCAGGAGGCCAATCCAATTGACAATCAGCTGCTTGTGCTAATCAGGCTGTGCTGAAGCTGACCAGGCTCTTTGCTGTTTGCTGCAAGGAGGCAAATTGCTGGGAGGCAGAGGCAGATTCCCCCACCCTTGTTTTCCTCCCCAAAAGCTAGGTGTGTCTTATACTTCTGAGTATCTTATTATACTCCGAAAAATACGGTAATCTATTTCTTCTTAAAAAGAACCTAGGAGATTGGAGACACAAGATTAGAGTGGCACACTAAACTTGGTTTAATAGAGAGATTTTTTTTTCACCCTTTCACCATGGGGGGGGGGGGATAGTAAGCCCCATGAAACAATGTTGAGTAATGATATTCTGCAAGCAGTAGGCAAGAACAGGAACTTTGCATATGTTAAGACATTAATGTTCTTAAGTCAACCACAAAAAGCATACAAAAGGACTTACCGGATTACAAACACTCAGTTCAGATCTTAAACTTGAATGGAAATTAACAACCTGTAACAACAAGGATATAATTTAGTTCTGCCACAAAATTATATGCTTATGATCATAGCTTCCTAAAGTTAATGGTTGTGCTTTAATATTCTGTGTTTCTTTGTTCTATGGTTTACTCTTTAAATATTTCTAAAGCATTATGTGACATCTTTCTGGCTTCCTTATATTGCTTGAGCACTTTACATTCTTACCATATTACTGAATTCATATATAATCCCTGCATACCTAGAACTTCTTTGGAATTTTACTGCTATATTATTTACAATCCATTTTTTTAAACATTTCAGTCTGCTTTCTTCCTGGGATAGAAAGATTAATGAGCAGGGAGCATAAGCCTATTTCAGGGGCAAAGGGATAAATTGTATAACCTGGTTAAGAATTATCCAACAGCTCTCCATCCTTCTGATTTTTCCTTACAGGCACTTCTGTGTTGATTACCAGCAGTAAATTTTTACACATAGGTTGTACGTAGACTCATATTTGGGTGGGGTGGATGATCTAAAGCTCAAACTAGCAAAAGCCAATGATCTTCCCTGCTTAACATAAACTAGTGGGAAACTAACTAATCAATATGTAGCCTAAAAATGTCAATACTATGTTTGTATAATATCACATAACTTTTATTGTTTAAATACCTTGAATATATAATGAAAATAAGTCATCATTATTGCCAGCGCTCCACAGGTAGTCCAGCTAAGAAAAAACATTGAAACCGCAACACAAAACCTTAATCGGGTAACCAGACTGTTGTGAGATGGAAGTCCAGAGGGTCTAACAAATACAAAATAAACACATTTATGAAATAAACTATTATATTACAAAGCAAAATGGCAGAGTTCCAACTTCATACCAAACTGTGGTTTAATGTAAATGTCAGAGTTGATAGTAAGTACTGTTGTGACTCAAGCTGCAGACTAACTTTTTAGAGCTCTAAAGTTCAAATGTTGGTTTGAAAGCTGTTTGGCTGTTTTCTATTATTTTATTACTTTAAAATAAAAGTGAGATTCAGTAGACTCATTCTAAATTGTTTGCTTTTTAATCACAACCTTGGCTTTACCAAATCAGAAATACCAAGTTTCTTAATCATAGTTTGCCATGACACCTAAATACATAGGGATACAGATATAATGTGTTTTTTCCTACAATTAGCTCTTTCATAATTTTGTCACACAGTTTATCATTATATGGTGGATTTTCAACATTTTGGCTTATTTTCTTTTGAGAGCAGGCATCAGAATTTCATTTTTTAATCTGAGCCAGTGTTTTTATAGAAAAAATGATAATAAAGTTTACCTTGTCTTGTCTTATCTCATCTCATCTCATCCCATCCCATCCTTTTTCCACACACCCAAAAAAGATAAAAATGAATAGCTGGTTGTTCTACTTAGTGTAAAATTACTGTTTAAAAATACCCTTTAATTAAATTACAAATATAGAAAGGCAGGCTGAACTTCAATACTCCTAACAAATTGGTAGCAGCTTTGATAACCTACCTACGCTGATAGGAGTGAAATCTAAAACATCTGGAGGCTGCTATATTTCCTATCCTTGGCCTATGGTATAAGGGTAGGAGGATTTTATCAATTAATTGGTAGGATATTTTACTCATAATATATATTGTTATAGTTCTTCCAAATGAGTTTAAAATTTAACACGTCTGTTTATGAATACGTTCTATGCATAACATATCCTGCCTTGCTCAAAAGACTGTTTCTGAATTCAGAAGTACTTTTCAGGAAGATCAATAAGAGTCTTCATCAGTAACTTTCTTGATAACAATAACAAGAAGGTTTTAAAAGTCGCAACTTTTCAATTTCATAAAATTCCCAACAAAGATCCATAGCGTCTTTGAACTATGAGTAGTAGAACACAGCTAGATTATGTGGAGGGATCCTTCTTGCTTCTCAATGAAGCAAAAAATGAAGACAGGCATTTTCTTTGAGTTGAGGCGTTTAACAGGACAAAATTTGTATGTCTGAAGTCTCTTCTCACATGCCAAAAGTGGGAAAATGTTAAGATTCAGAATTAACTACTTATCCTTTCTGCTTTTTGCCCTCATCCAGTTAACAACTCTGGAGAATTCAAAAGTTTGCACATAATTTTGTGATCTTTTCATTGGCCTAGCAAAAAATTACTATGTAATATGAATTTTAGACTGTTAAATCATTTAGAAAAGAAAACCAGTTAATTTTCTTTTTGTATCTCCAATGTAAAGAGTAAGACCTAAACAGAGAGAGGGAGAGATTTTTCTGCCTAACTATCTCATTGTTTGATTAAAAGATAAAGATATTTTCAAGTTCTATTCTTGGTGATCTCTTAGACACATCCAAATAGTTTAGTTGGCAGCAATACTTTCTTCTGTGGGGTGTGTGTGTGTGTGTGTGTGTGACTTCAAAGTGTTGTTAACTTTCCATTCTCAGAAAAGAAGCCACTTAGAGAAAATATGACCCATTTCCAATCTATCAAATTGCTGGACTCATTTTCCCTTTTGTGCAAGAGTTGCCTGTAGAATGCAGAAGTGCAGTAAATAATTGATTCTTGTTGCCTTTTAAGTGATATAATGCTTTGTATGTAATACTAGTATCCGTTAAGTTCAAAGAGTGTTGTTTATGCAACACTAGGGCTTAGGGACTACATCAGAAATCTTTACATTGTGCTTGTCATATTTACAGATACTTCAATTAAAAAATAATAATGTCAATTCAGAAAATATTCTTGCATTATTGTACATGGCAGAGAGAGTATACTTCTCAGCAAGATTGACAAATGTTGTTTCCAGAAATGCCACTAAACATTTTGCATTTATTTATTGGTTTTTACCTTGTCAAAACTAAGTGCAATGAAGATAAGAGCCTTATAGACGAATCAAGAAGTACGCCACCCCAATAGGCTATGCCAGTCCCAAACATAAAGAGAATCAGGGATACAAAAGGGAAACACAAGCCCTGGTTGTTGACTGTGACACGATCGAACTCTGAACTCCTGAGTGTTTTGAACCAGTTAAGTCTAAAAAAATAGATAGCATGATAGTTATTTGGTTTGATTACCTACATTTACCAAAATTAGTAATTAATCTTAGCTGCAAAATTAATGTTATAAACAGTTACAAAAATGCAAGTGTGAGAAAAATTCTGTAACTATAAGATAAAAATATATTAAAAATATTAAAAAGAAACATACCCCAACAAGAACTTAATCATATATGCTATGGGTTCTACTTTATAAGGTTTAGCTGCTTTAGTAAGTGCAGGAACAAAGTCTGAACATTGACCTGGAACAAAAGAAAAAATACCTGAAACCACGTATTCACAAATGTAAATGATAAAGTTAATATTTATCTTTTTAGAATACATTTGAAAATGCTTAAAAGTTATACTATTGAAATCAATTACTTTTCAGACTATGTTTTTACTTGAGCACAAACAGAAAAAAATTAAAACCCAGGTATTTAAATATCTATATTTAAATTAGAATAATGTTTATTTTGATGCATAGATTTCCATGTCCAGTATACAAGTCTTATTAAAAAGCCCAGTACAATGCAATTCTTTAGAAATATGCTTTTCAAAAACTTTATTCCTTCAAGTTATGATAATTCATTCAGTGATCATTTGAAATTACAGAGGTACTGAACAAATGGTACTTAAGTGCGGTCCCTAAAGTTATGATCACATGATCATAGGGATGGTTTAACTCTTCTTACTTGCCTATCTCTCCCCCATCTCTGCCCTTTTAGCCCCCTGCACTCCCAGGCCCCTGTTTCCCTGTGCTCTTCCCACCCCCTCACTCCCCCAATGATCTAAAGGCAGTTGGGAGGGCATTGCAGGAGAGATAGTTCCTTACTTTGGAAGAACTGGGGTTCAAGGCTGGGAGGGATCTAGACAGGAACCGCTAGGCTCAGGGTGGGTCCTTGGCTAATGACCGGTGGGATTCAACAACAACAAAGGGAGAGCGAGATTGCTGTCATTAAGAGAGGCAGTCAAGTGAATTGAGCTTTATGACTGCATTGCTTAGTGATAGAAATTCGGGGTCTCAATTGTCATTGTAACTTGAGGACTACCTGTGTTGTAAAAACCTAATTTTAAAATAAGATAAGCTATGAAATATTCATAATTCACTAATTATTAGTAATATAAACATTTTATCTCTTTACATTCTTAAAGAGATGTGTTTCATTATAAATAGTTCCAAACAAATGTCAGCCTTGTTTTAAAAGCAATGACACAGAACATAAGGAACATAAAATTAAATGCAATGTGAACTAGTTTTTAAGCGATAAACAAACCTTGCTTAAAAATCTTTTCATGTAATGTTACCTGTTGACACTAGGGACCTTAACTGTCTTCTGTAGGCAAGAAGAATATTAGAAATAATGTACATAGGAAGAGTGCCACCATGGAATCTTATCACCTACAAAACAAAGATATTTTTTTAAAAAAAAAACAAGAACATGGAACATGGAAAATTCATTCCACCTGTATTTCTTACAATTCTGTATAGGTATAACAAAGTGTCTTGTTTGAGACCATCCTGAATATTCATGGAAAGAGCAAGACTTGCATCAAAGATTTCCAAGCCTAATCAATTCACTCTCAAAAATCTGTTACGGGAAAAAGATTAGGAAGTGAATCTATTTTCTCACTGATTTGTAGGAAGATCATATGTTCCAATGTAAATATTAAAGAATAGCAAGATAGCGTGAGTTGTGGAAAACCACATGTGTATGAGTCAAGGCCAAGCCCCAAAACGGCAGAGTGAAATCCTATTGAGTCCAATCCTTTATTTGCTTACACCTAAAGCAGGGGTCCCCAACCACTGGTCCGCGGACTGGTACCGGTCCGTGGAACAAGTCCTACCGGGCCGCTGGCTTGCTGGGCGCCGCCATCTTTTTTTGATGAAAAAGTGCTTCCGGTGAGGTCACCGGAAGCACTTTTTCATCAAAAAAAGATGGCGGTGCCCAGCTAATGCCGGTACCGGGCCGCGCCATAAAAAAGGTTGGGGATACCGGGCCGCGGCATAAAAAAGGTTGGGGATCACTGACCTAAAGGATAGAATTTTGCCAAGCTAAAGCTATAACCCTCTAGCCTCTTAGATATATCCCGAGAGATTCTAGCTCAGGACTGCAGTTTCTTAATTTGAGCTTCTCTCTGGAATATACTATCTCCTTCCTGGGAAAGCTCTGTGCTGCCAAGACTCACTTCCACTGCTTCTTCAGATGGGAATTCCAAAACAATATGTATGAGATCAGATCAGCATAAATATTAATATCAAAATGTGGTTAGCAATTTAAAAAAAATATGGAAATGTTCAGATTACTTTGGGACACATTAGACCCATGTGTCCTGCTGAGTGATCAGAATCTAACATTCATTTATTTAAAAAAAAACGTGGACTGTGATATGTGTACCTAAAGAATCTAGAATGGTATCACTTGTGTGGAAAATGCTTAAATTAAGGAAAGATGGATTTAAACAAAACTTATCTAGAAATTTTAAGACACTAACAGACGATATCAACTGCCATTTTGTTGCTGTCGCATCCTGCTCTGAAACAGCTAATTGTACAAAACTGGCTTTAAATAATTCACAGTAAATTTCACTGTAGCAGTGACAATACTATTTTACAAGCTTGCTGAAACTTTCTGAAATATGATTGGGTTTTTCAGTTTATGCTTTTTACTTAAAAGAAGCAACATTGCTTTACTCAATGTCTAAATTTCTACTTCAATAGTTGCATTAAGCATAGTTCAATGATTTTTGAATATGCAAAAATTTTCTCCTACGAGAGAAGGTGCAGCAGATGTTCATATATCCGGTTCCAAAGGTGCGCATGCTCAGAAAAATTCACCATTTTAAATTATCTTCCTAGTGCACTTCCCTCCCACAGTATTTTTACAGTAATTACACAACTACTTTAAATCCTGCCTTAAAGCAGGCAGGCAAACATTATTTAGTTTAAGAGAAAATAATGGATTCTACGAAGTCATAATTGCTTATTTGTAATATAACGAGGCTTATGTTCCATCCTGCTGATATATTTTGTTGGAAAAAGTTAGTATGTGCGTACTCAAAAGCAGCTGGAGGCATCAGTTATTCATCCTATTTCCTCAATCAATCAGTTTATTATGATTGATCTGGTTCAAGGCCAGATACAATAAAATATCCAATGGAAAACAATAATAGGACCTAAATAATTATGAAGAGATATACTAAACAAAATAGAATATAGGGAGCAGCATGAGAGCTAAGAGTTTCTATTGCGCTGCAAGGACATAACCAAAGGTGCACAAGAGTACCCTTAAACATCCCAAAAGGACTGCTGAAGGCAATGCATGCAGCCTGGGTAAAATGAGGGCCTTATCACATTTCAGAACTGTAATGAATAATAAATAGGCTGGAGTGAACCTTTTTGGAATATTGGGGTGTGACAACTTGCTGAAATTTGTTTGGAGGTCCATATCCCAAGTTCATTGTTTGGACGTAATTTTAATTAAAAAATCTATTGAGCACAAACCTTCCATAGAGAAATCTAGTAAATGAATTTTATTTAGGGCTTTATAAAGCTATGATTAACCTTTTAAAGCGACAAATTAGCCTTAAATAACACACACTACTCTAACAGTAACTGATCAATTAAATTACTTCTCTTAATCTACTTAAACATAATTGTGTATAATCTATTAAATAAAGTCTTACCTGACCAAGGACCTGCAGAAAAGAGGTCTTGACAGTTACCTAGTTTAACACATACATCAAAGAGTTATTATTTAAAAACAAATATTTGAGATAAAAAATCAAAAAAAAATTACTGGAAAGATAAATACAGTAAGTGTCCATAGTACCAGAATGCCTTCTAGTTTAGATTGTGCATCAACCCCCGTTTCTCCTTGTCCACAGTGATCCACATTTTAAGTAATCTCCATATAAAGTTACTAAAAAGTTTTAGAAAAATAAATGTTACTTCTGAAGGTTGAATTTCAAAGCCACTCTCTCCTATATAACTACCAGAAGCTTCCAGTCTTTTGCCAAGTGCAGATTGAAGTCCTTCTGTTAATACTAATCAGATACTCTTTGGGTCTTTTTTATCTCCCATATCAGATCTTCCAAAGATCGAGTGTCTCAATTCAAACATCTCCCAGAGATGCTTCTCACCATTAGGTTGAAACAAATTCATCTATTTCACCATTAGATTGAAACTATCCCTACCCTGTCCCCAATAAAACATCACCGCCATTAATGCTTTTCCTAGTCCAGAAGTCAACCAGCACATTATCTTAGTTTCATGGCTTCAACTATGCCATTATACAGTGATAGATATACTTCATTCTTGCTGCTTTTATCATTTCATCACACAGAGAGAAGTACAGCTATCTTTTAAGAAATAAAATATAAATAGTCCTCCAGTTGTGAAGACATGGAGATCGAGATTGCCATGTGGTTGTAAAGTGAGATGTCATGTAATTGTATCATTTAGCAATGACAATCCCAGCAACCTAGTTGCCATCATAACCCCAAGACATGCAGATTGTTAAAACAGGAAAGGAGCATGTACGTATACAGGTGTGTGGAGAAAACTGACGCAGTTCACGCACAAGCAGAAGGGTTGATGGGCTGCTGTGAGTGCTGGAAAACTGGAAGAGGGTAATGCAGTATGAGTGCAGAAAGCCTGGGGGACTGACCAGTGCAATTTGCAACCTTCCCTGCCAGCTTCCTCGTTGACTTTGCTGGTGAGAAGCATGCAGGGGAGGTCACAAACAACAATCATATGACTACAGGATGTCATAAGTGTTTGACTGCAGCAATGGTCAAAATTTCGAGGACCACTCATTCAATATCCTAGCAACTTTGAATGGTCACTGAACCCTATACATTTAAAATGAGCCTGTAAATCACAAATACAGTACATTGAACATGAAAGCAAAGATCATTTAACCTTAGTTTTTCAAAAGATCTTCATTATCTTTAGATACAATCCATAGAAGTACTTTGTGACTAAGGTATTATACAAATTTATAAAATAAACAAACAATATAGGCTACTTTCTCAAGAAAAACAGAAGGAATTGAACATTTTTACAGTTTTTACTTACTTCATATTGACAATCTGAAGATGAATACATTTTCAACAAAGGAACTGTAGAATCATTTTCAGGCTGTGCAATGTGCAATTTTGCAGAAATCTCAGTCAAATGATCCCTAAAATAGTTAATTTTAAAAACTATTAATCTGCAAAGCAAGGTATCACATCTAAACAGAAATCAAACTTAAGATGGACATAAATGCTACAGTCATGAGAGAACAACAATATGAAGCATTAACACTTAAATTAAAAAAGCATACACTAAATATTTTTGTGCAATTCCATCTTTATTTAATGTATATCCTACTGCAATCACAAAAATTCTTGGCAGCTCACAAGAAATAAGCAAAAAAGACAATAATACATTTTATGACAAAAACCTCTAGAATGGTCCAGTTTCATATCTTGATAAGTGGCCCATTAGTTTCATTCAATTTCAAAAGAAACTTAAAAAGATGATACAATCTAATTAAAAACTCTAATGAACCCTGCTTAATGTTAGTCAGAAATAAAAATAATCAGACTAGGATTGAAAAGAGCAAATGGAAGATGGAAAGTATTTGGAAAAATAAGAGTTGAAGGGAGTGGTACAGCCTCTTCTTAGATTGCTGTCATTTTTGGAATTATTCCATAATATACAAATGAGAAGTATCATGGAGAAATTTCACCATGGTGTGTGTGTGTGTTATCTGTGTGTGTGTGTGCGTGCGTCTGTGTGTATCTGCATTTGAATACATTTGAATATTTTCAGGAAAATTCCCATGAAGAAAAACATTGATAGGGAATATTCAACATCACATGCATATACATGTATTTGTGCACCAATATGTACACATCCACACACATATATCCATTAGGCTATAACACAAATTCTGATAAAAACTGATAAAACAAGGACCTACAGTGCCTTTGTTATTTTGTAATATATTTATAACTGCTTTAGATGGAACAATACAAACTAAAAAAAAAAGGGAAAAAAGGTGCAAGAAAGCAAAAATAAATAAACCCTCCCCCCTAAGAAAGCAACTTCCCATCTGCACCATGACAAGTATAAACAATTTCATAATCTCTTCACCTCTTCCTAGTTAACAAATAGGTTAACTAGGAAGAGGTGACAAATAGCTCTTCATCCCATAACCCATCTCTTAATAGGCAAATCAAATAAGTAATCCAATCCAATTCAGTTCAAAAAGAACTTTAAAATAAATAAATGAACTCCCTCAGAAAATCCAAAGAAGTACAATTTCTTTAGTAAATATCTCTTCTACCTATCACTGAAATAATCATCCAGTCTCAAAAGGGATAAGTTTTTGGGCAATATTTAAGCTGTAAACAATAGCTAAAAAAATAGTCAAATTTTACTTTCAGTCTCAACAAAGGACTATATTTGAGACACAATATAAAACATACAACATACATATGAACATATTGTATAAGAGCTGGAAGGGCTCATTGGTAGATAATTTTTTCCCTCGCTCCCAATCAGAACGTTCCAGTTGCCAAAATTAATATTTGAAGGTTCTGAATGATAGAAATACTTCTCTTACTGGAAATCTGTGAAATAAGTCTAAGATACTGAAAAGCCTTGATTTGTAATTACATAGCCATTTAATTGCCACTTAGGGCATTTAGCAAATATTTGGATTTTTTTTTATTTTTTTCAAAATTTATTACTAATTTTTTGTCCTTGCAATAAAAGACAAAGGCTCTCAAAGCACACTTTAATCCAGTTAAGGCAGGGGTGTCAAACTCATTTCATTGAGGGTCACATCAGGGCTGTGGTTGACCTCCGGGGGCCGGGGTGGGAGTGGCCAACTGGGTGAGTGTGGCCAACTGGATGCGTGTGAACCAGCTTGACTCCACTCCCCCAACTACTGGCATGTTTCCTCTTCAAAAGCTTTGCTGGCCTTTCCTCTTCGCACCGTGTAGACCGGACCAAAGCTACGCTGGGCTGATCTTTCCTTGTCCACCAGGTAGACCGGGCTGAAGCTATGCTGGGCTGATCTTTCCGCTTCGCACTGGGTAGACCAGGATGGCCTGGATTAGATCACATCACAGCCTGGATTCAGCCCATGGGCCTTGAGTTTGACACCCCTGAGTTAAGGTCTCGGATAGGAAAACTACATCATCAGTACACAAAAGCTGTGGTAAGTCTATAAGCTAGCTTTGGGGGAAGAAAATTGGGACTGTTTTCATGGTAAACCAAATAAATTATTCAAATAGTACTCAGCTTAATGACTATTCAAGATTACAAGAGGACTGGAACAAGTGCTTTATGGCCCGTAAAGCACTTCTAATCATCATAAAATATTGTGCCACACATCCCCCGGCAGTCACATGAATGCATTTCAGGTGCATCACAATCAGTTCACCTTTACAACTGGCTGCATTGTCACTTGGCCACAATTTGCAATGTTTTTTGCTTGTTTCAGTGTTTTTTGTCTATTCCAGTTTGGCATTCTTGAATGGGCTCCATTCATGACCATGATTAACAACCATGGATTTGCTTAACGACCATGATGATTTTGCTTAACAAGTGTCACAACAGTGTCTTAAAATTGGGTCTGGTCATCTAGGTGCCTCAACTTACTACCATAATGACTTATAACCAGAAATCCGGTCCCAATTTCTATCAGAAGCCAAGGTTACTTGTATACAAGTTAAAAGACAATACCACCAGTATGTAGCACTGCCTGACTCCCCTTACTTACTTGTTTAGGCAAATGACTGTGTGTGTAAATTGGATTTTTAACTTACAATTTTCATGAAGCTTATCTATCAGAAGTAAAAGATATCTATTTTGTAAAATAAGCAGAAAATACTTTATAGCCTATTATATGTCAACAATGTAAATAAAGAATGAGAAATCCTTACTCTGACAATGTTAAGAAATCTTCATGTGACCATGGTATATGAAGTTGATATACACTGGGTTTTCTTTCTTAAGGGACAAATGAAAGCACAAAATGAATCATTTTTAAGTACTTCAAGTTCAACAACCCATAAGGATTTGGGTAATAGCCAATCAGTTCCTACCAAAAGAACAGTTTTGAACAGTAGCAATTTACTCTTAAAAATCTCCTTTTGGAGTTGCGGAAGTTTACTAACATCCCCAATCCCAAAAGGAGAGTGTAGAGGTCCCATTACAGGTAATCCTTGTAATCCTGAAGTTATGGTGGATCCCCAAAAAGTTTCTTACAACCTGATCCCCAAATTACAGGCATTGCAGTACCCCCATGGTCAGTTGCCATTACAACAGACTGCACCAATGTTGCAGAGCCCCTCCCCTCAGCCTATCTTCCCCCATCTCCCGCACTGGCTCACCACAAGCACTGACCTTTTAGAGACTCCTGGAACTCTGGTGCTTGAGTTGGGGAAGAAGGACAGGCCATTCCATTGCTGGGTTGCGTGATGTCATCTTGGAAGCAGCCACCATTTTCCAGCAATGCAGTGGCCTGTCCTCCTTCCCCAACTCAAGCACCAGAGATTTTCAAAAGATAAGTGCGGGATGAGAAACACGGGAAAAGGAGGAGGTTGTTAGGCCCAGTGGAGTGAGAAGCAGGCCCAAGGCATGCCAGGATTCTGAGGAGTGGGAAGTGGAGCACAGGGGGCTTCAGGAGTAGGGGAGGCCTTGGGAGGCCCTGGGCAGGGCCTGTGCTAGACTTCCCAGGGCCTCTGAGTCACTCCATGCTTCACTTAACAAGCTGCATTTTCGGGAAGAGCAGGGATGTAAGTGAGGTGATCACATGGGCACTTAACAGTTGTTACAACTTCTGACTGTAATGGGCAATATATTGCTGGATCTTGAGAATGAGTGTATGCATAGTTGACTCAGTTATATCACAAGTTGCCAATTTATTCTAATTTTAATTCAACATATTAATAAATCCATTTTTATATAAAAATATAAGGATTTCCTCCTTATCTGTGAGTTGTCTGAACTCTGATATCAACTGTAGCAGTCTTGAAGATAAGCCCTCTTCTATGATAGGTAGGCAAAAGAGTTAAAACTTTCTCAGTGGTTGGCCCTCTACTTGTGGGATTCCCTGCTGACTGACTGGTTTATGGCTGCTAAATACATATTTTCATATTAAATCTAAACTAGGAGAAAAATCCTGACAGTTATAACAATTAATCAGTGGAACAATTTGCCTTCAGAAGTTGCAGGTTCTCCAACACCGGAGGTTTTTAACAAGAGACTGGACAACCATTTGTCTGAAATGTTACATGGTTTCTTGCTTGAGTAGGGGGGGGTCACACTAGAAGACCTACCTCTAAGTTCCCTTCCAACTTTGTTATTTTGTTATTCTGTTACTGGTTTCAGTAATTTCTCACTTTCTTTTGTTTTGATACAAGTCTGATTTAAGAAATAACAATGCAACAAAATGTGCAAGTAACAAACAAGAAGCATTTTAATATATGAAATCATATTCAGGAAATAAATTTACCTTTGAAAATCTGGCATTTACTTTCTATAAAGATGTTAAAAGCCTGATATATCTAAAGAAAGATAACATACTATATTAGTATTGCTTCCCAAAGCTAATCCATATCAGATTCTACCAAACAAATAATGTATACACTTCAAAAATTAATACCTGACCAAAATGTTGGAGCTGAACAATGTGAATAAGGCCAGTTGAATTTAGTATGATTTTGCTTGAAGAAAATCCTGCAGAAATTATTGCTTTGTTAGTTAGAATTAACAAAATATAAAAATTAAAATGGGTTTTTAGAAGACATTTTGAATGTTAGCTGAATAGAGAGACACACATTCCTTATTAATAAAACATAAATAATAAGATGGAAAAAGTTAAACCATTTTATAAAAATGTTTTGTTAAAAGACAAGAACCCAATCTTATTTATATCTATCTAAAAACAAGCCTGAGTTCAGAGAGAGCAATGTTCGGAGAAGTTTATGTAGGATTGTAGATCACAATTGGAGAAGGAAGAAACAAAATTAATCAATATGTCAAATGCAATAAATTGAACCTACCAAAAGTAAAAAGATGAGTTACAGGGAGTTGCACTGTTCTTGAAACTTCATTAAAGAACTCACAGTCCAAAGTAAACTGCAGGACAAATATATAAAATATTTATTTAAATCGCCCCAGATTACCTAGTAGCCCATATTTTTCAATCTTAGGCACTGAAAATATATGGAAGTAATCAACTTAGCATCAGGAGACATGGTTTCAAGAAGTGGACATTATTTTATTTAATTGTGCAACATATTGTCATTGCTAATCAATCTTATTATCAAGTATAAATAGTCCTCAAGTTGTGATAGCAATTGGAACCAGGATTCCCATCACTAAAGAAAGTGGTTATAAAACATGAGATCATGTGAGCACATCACTTAGCGGTGGCAATCCACACAGTCTTGGTTGTTATAACCTAAGATAGGGCTGTCAAATTCCCAACCTGCAGGCCAGATGCCAGACATGCTGGCCATACCCACGGTTTAGCAAAGGGGGAAAAAGTCCCAATACATCACGTGATGCCGCTGTGATGACATGAGTTTGACACCCCCGACACATAGATCATTACATGATAATTAGAGGGAATTCCAGGTAAGGAACATGAGGGTGCTTCAAGGGGAGTCTCCCAGAGGCCCTGGCACAGATCCTGTGTGAGTTGGGAGTGCTGCAGAGAAGTATAAACTCAGATAGGCCAAGGAAAGAAGGTGCAATGTGCATTTATGCTTGTATGCATGTACAGGGAGGCTGAGGAAAGATAATGTGGAGTGTATGTGTGCGAGTGCGGGGAGACAAGGAACAGGAGATGTATGTATAAATACAATAAGCAAAGGGAAAGAGGGCACATGTGTGTGTGTGAGCACAGGAGGCCAGGAAAGGACCTTATGCACATGACTGTGTGAGAATAGGGAAGTATGGTACTGGTGGGTGCATGTGAATATAAATGCAGAAAGGCTAGGGAAGTAGAGCACTGATGGGTGAGAGTGAGCAAACAGTGAAGGAAGACACGGTACATGTAATCAAAGAAAGGCTGAGAGGGGGCTGTAACCTGAAGCACTTGTGATCTTACTTGCTGGCTTCTCAATTGACTTTGCCTGTGGGAAGCTGGCAGCAAGGGTCAGTGATCTCATAACCATGGGATTGCCAAGTGCCTGAATGTTGTTGATATGATCACAGGGGTACTATAATGGCCATAATTTTGAGGGCTGGTTATAAGCCTTTTGCCATCATAGATTTGAACTGTCACTGAACAAAAGATTGTAATTTGAGAACTACCTGTCAAACTTAATAGTAACAAGAATAATGTAAGTTTGTGTCAGGGCATGTGTTTTGAGGATTGTAGTTTTGAAAATTACTTACTGTCATATTACAACTAATATGTGGATTTCTATCCATACCAAATACAGTATGTCATTAAGAACTTGTGGTTGTATAATCCAGATGCTGGAGAAATAAAGCCTGATGGCTTGATCAATTATGTACCCGCATAGAAATCTTTCCTCAACTTTTAGATCTTCCAATGGTAGACCCTTTACCATTGTAACTGAAACCAAGCAATGGCTTCATCCATTATAAATAAATACATCAACTCTTTGCATTTATTACAGCATTTATTGGTCAAACAGAATAAGATTAATCCTGTGGCAATTTCACCATGAGGTAACATGCAAATTCATTTAGGATACTCACATTTCATTTCTGAAAATTCTGTTTAAAAAATAAATTTTACCTTGATACTATTAACCACTGGGACATGAAGCACAATATGAGTCAAAGATAGATAATCTTGAAGTTTCAAAGTCACAATCTAAAAAGCAAAGCAAATAACAACCATGCCTGAATAGGAAATTAAGGTTAAAGATTATCTAATTATATTTAATTGTGTAATCTATAAAAACATTTGAACAAAACATTATACTAAAACTGAGATGATACTTTTCATAATAAGTCACAGACCTATAAATCCACATACATAGTATTGTTTTTGAGGTTCAGAATAAATACCTTAACCGTTGGTAGTAACTCAGCATTCCAAGACAAATCAATTGCTTGCAGACTGTGAAATTTATATTAAAATGAAAATATTATTATACAAAATATTCATATGTATTCAGAATGAAATGCATAATAATCCATTCAAAACTAGTGCTTTTCTTCATTTGAGCAACAAAGTTAGAAAATAAGTTTGATTTCACTATTATTAATACTCAATATAGCAGCTGAGACATAGTAAAATCAGAGGGTCCACAGGAAGCAGTTTCTCAAAAAGCATTTACTTGTGATTATTAAAAAAGATTCTCTTTTTAAAAGGGAAAAGAATATTTTGTGGTATTAATTTGCGATGAGGCAAAGGCACAAGATGTGGACTGTGTATTTACTAATAAACAGCTTGCGCTCAACTCTGATCTATAATGAAAAGGATTTAAACATATTGCAAAAAACATACCATTACAATTATTTTAAAATGAACATAGGATGAAGCTAGGAAAGAAAGAAGCAAGGTATCATTATAGCAGGTACATTTTGGAGATGACAGCAGTTAAAGAGACGTAGAATTAACTAAAGTTAGTTAGTCTAACTAAGGACTAAAAGAAAGGTAGGACTAAATTTATAGAGTGAGTAACACAGTTTGGAAAGCAGAGTAGGCTGAAAACACCAGAGAAGGACCAGGGGGATCTTGGGAGATAAATATTTGTGAACAATGGGGTATGGACTGTCATGGGAAAAGAACTGTAGAACACAAGGCTAGGAAGGTTTATGGGATAAATTAGTAAGAAAAAACATGGGATAAGGTTGCTTTGCACAATTCAAGCCGCATGCAGTCCTCTCACTCTCAAACTTCCCTGCAGCTCACCAAAGAGTTTCAACTTCTTTCCATGTACAGAGGGGAAATCCTTCATGGGGCTGCAGGAATGCAGCTGAAATCCTGAAAACTTTGGCTCCCCTTTGTCTCCTCTGCTTGCAACCTTCCTCATTGAGTTTCTGAGGAAGCCAGCACAGAAGATTGCAAATAGCAATCACATGATCAAGGGGGGAGGAGCTTGGCAACTAGTTGTAAATGCCAGTCTGTTGCCAAGCACCTAGGTTGCGATCTGTAATCATGGGGGGAGCACCATGGTTTATGTCCAGGAACCATTCCAAGACTGTCATAATTTTAAATGATTGTTAAACGATTGATCTGAAGTAGAGGACATCTGTCTGTATATTATGCCTAGCCACTCCCACTACAGCAGTTCTTCTGTTAATAATTCCCTAGTAGCTTTTTAATTATTATTTACTATAATTCTCCCTCGGATGCCATCTTTTATATTACATTTTATATTGCTCTGTACCTTATTGTTTTAAGACGGCTTTATTATTCTTTTTATTAGTAGGCAAGTAAGTTTATTGTTGTAATTACAAGTCATAACATACAATATACCATAAAATACAATAAAATAACAATAACAAAGTAATAAATATATTGTATATAAGAAGGTGGAAACAAAATAGATACAACCAGGGGCGGGATCTGACCGGTGTAACTACCGTTTCTGTTTCTGCTGCTCTTCAGAGCTACCGCTTCTACAGAGCCGGACAGAACCAGAAGAATCCCACTCCTGGATACAACTCAGAACTTCAGTAATTTCTTTCTAAATTTAAATGACAGCAGAGCAAAGTAGCAACCTGATTGTTAACAACTGGAAACCAGTTTGCAACATGACTGTTTAATTGTTTGAGATCTGAGTCCTTGAATTTACTTACCAGCTATAATTTGGCCCTAAACTCCTTGTAATTGGAGCAGGAGAGGACATAATAAATAATGCCTTCCACCTGACCAATACCACAATGGATTGTACATTAACAATGAATGTGGAGAAGAACAATCCATTTCATATATGCTATGGAGCATACAATGTCCTTCAACATGTATGGAGGAAGACTTCATGCTGGTGAGAGAAAATGCTGTTGATGTGGCCCAATACTGGGCAAATGCCATTTAATTTTAATTCTATTTAATTTTACATAATTTTCACATGTGCTAAACTTTTACGCCTATTTTATTTGCTTAGTATTGAAGGTTATGTATTTAGAATTTGAAGGTGCTTCTGTCATGAATGAAACAGAACAATGAAATTTTCCATCCATTAAGTGAGGGGGTAAAAAATATTTGTGACTTAATGGCTGCTACAATATCATTAATATGAAATAAGAAAGGAGCAAGTAAACAACCTTGTTTTAACTCTCTCCAATAAAATAGAATCAGTCAAAGATTTTTGTAGGCCCATTCTTACTCTGGTTCTAATTATTATTAGTTTGAGAAGGCACTTATCAACATCTGCCCTCACTATTTGTCCCATAGTCAAGATCTGTCAATTGAATAAAAGGCAGAGGTAAAACCTGAGGTTGTTTTGTGTGTATGTTAGTATATTTCTGAGTGAGAATCTTCAAAGTGGTGCAGTGATCTAATGTGCTATGTCCTTTTTGAAAAACCTGCCTGTTCTGGATGAAAGGATTTTGTTTCTTCTTTCAAACTTTTTAATTTATTCAAAAGGTATCTGAAATAAAGTGTCTGCTGAGGCTACCCTTCCACTTATCCAGACAGAGCAACTTCTTCAGATTAGATTCTGAACCTGAGTCCTGAGACTGGATCATGACATAAACTTAGAAGAAATATCTAGCAGGCTAATTGGATGATAATTAGCAAGTTTTTTTACCAATTTCCCTTTTTGAAGAATGGTTTTCAATGAGACCGCACAACACATGTTTTATTTATTTCTGACAAAAATCTAATCATATACCTGTGGAGGTACTATATATTCTCCAGGGGTTTTTCATTCAATTAAATAAATATTTTTAAAAGGTAATTATTTTCATAATCTCATAAAAATAAAATATATTTACCACTTCGATGAAGTACTGTTTGCACAACCAAATATCCAGCTGTTTGTATCCTTTTATTTTAGAAGAGAAGAAAACAATAAAGAACAAATTAAAATGTATGTCAATTCCTACTGTATTTTTTTAACCTATTAATAATTTACTTTAAATTTTCCTAGAAAGATTTATCAAGAGCAGCACTGGCTGTTAGCATTGGTGCAAACAGCTTTTGTAAATATAGGTAGTCCTTGAGTTACGATGACAATTGAGCCCAAAATCTCTGTTGCTAAGTGAGATGGTTGTTAAATGGGTTTTCCTCATTTTATGACCTTTCTTACCACACTTGCTAAGTGAATCACTGCAGCTGTTAAGTTAGTGACATGATTATTAATTGACTCAGGCTTCCCTTCTGATTTTACTTGTCAGAAGTTCGCAAAAGGTGGTCACATGACCCTGAGACACAGCAACCATCATAAATATGAGACATTTGCAAGTATCTGAATTTTGATCACATGACCATGAGGAAGCTGCCAATGGCCATGTGAAAAATAGCTATAAGACACTTTTTTCAGTGTCATCGTAATGTCACTAAAAGAACTGTTGTAAGTCAAGGGCAGCTGAAGTGCTGTTGGATAGTGATAGTTTTTTTCTGAGAGTGAAAGGAACAGAACAGTTGAACATTCTGTTGAAGCAGGCATTAAAACATTTCTTAATACTTCCAAGGGCTACTAATACTTTGAAACAGCATCCAAAAATTTAAAAAAGATGATGTCATGGAAAGTTTGTGACCTAGTTTCCCATTATGACATCATCCAGCTTACATGGAGATTAAGAGAAGCTGTTGGATTAAAACATTAAAATTCCTTAAAACAGATGCATTATAATATAACAATGAAACTGAATATTAGAAGGAAATAATTTCTCACCAACATACTGTTTTGGCAGTAAATATGAGTGAATGATTTTCTTTGGCTTGAGAGGGGAAAACTAAAATATTTTCCATCTGATTCCTATTTAGAAAAAGACAGAAATGTTTACTTGAACATAATAAAACTGTTACAGTGAGAAATTGTGCTATAGTATTTTAAATGGTAGAATAAAACATTTAAACATTGAAAGTATTCTGTCATAGAGAACAATGAGAAATTGAATGATGTTATTTGCTTTGTTTTCTATGCAAAGGCCACAAATATAAATCTAGTGATAACTCATGCTAAATGTTTCTTATCACCCAACTACAGAAAAATCAGCCAAGTGAATCATTAACATATTTCTAATTCCCATAACAAAAAATTGGAAGCAATGATTAAGCAAGCTTGTCTCAGCAGATGCTTGCACAACCATGAAACTAAACTAAGGTAAAATTTGATACCGGTAGCAATAGATTTGCTTCAACCTAGCCCATAAACAATGTAACTTCTTTTGCCAACTGGCTTGAGGCAACTTTTCCATCAATATGCACAGAGAACTTTGATATTTGCTTGCAAAATTCAATAAAGCAAAATAGCTTTTTTATTTGCAATCTGAAAGTTCAACAGGACACCAACAACATCTGTAAGGCATGTGCCTATTACACTCTTTTACATTTTGAAACAAGCCTGAAAAAGACAGTTTAATATAAAAAGAATATGTAGAGGGACAATAATGTACTTTAACAACTCATGAATTCCATAGCAAAGAATTTAAATTCATCAGTAAACCTAACTACCAATACTGTAATGATGTAAAATAATTCTTCCTCATGCTTTCTCTGCTGTTTTTATTGTGTCTGCTGTTTTTATTCACTAATCCACTCTCCAAATCTCTATGGCTTGGACGATTTTTAAAAAACATCCAGGCAGATGTGAAATGTAAAATGAAATTAATGATTTGTTCTGGGTGATTTGTTCTGAGCTCGAAACATTTGGTTGTCTTTTTCTGAACTTTTCAAACTGACAAAGGTTTGGCACATCTCAACAGCTAGATTGGATATGGGGAAGCCTTGGTTCAATAATTACAACACTATTTTCAATTCTAGATTTTCCATCAGAGAAATAAGTGGTAGAGCACATATTTTTCATAGGGAAGGTACTAAATTCAAACATTAGCACTGCTAGAGTTGAAAAATAAACCTGCCTGAACTTAAAAAGGACCTCATAAAAAATAAAAAATAGCTTTTACATAAGCTAATAAATAATTCTGTTTTAAATGAAAAATATTACTTACATTGTATCCTTTGTAGGACCATTTCGAAGTTTTTATATTAATCCAAATTGATGCTCCTGAAAAAATAACAATATTTTTCTTCATACTGGATTACTTTTTTCCTGCTGTCCTGCAGTACCATACCACAATAATTTTGTTGTGAAATCTAAAATAGCATGTATCCTTTTGACATTAAAAAACAAATATTTTTGAAATGATAAAAACAAATTCTTCTCCTCTGATTTTAGTTTGGACATAGCAAATTAGCATCAGTATCAGTGGTGGGATTCAAAAAAAATTATTACCAGTTCTGTGGGCGTGGCTTGGTGGGCATGGCAGGGGAAGGATACTGTAAAATCTCAATTCCCAACCCACTTCTGGGGGAAGGTTACTGCAAAATTCCATTCCCTTCCCACCCCATTAACCTGCTTTCCAGCTCCGTTCTCCTGTGCAGGGCAACAAAAGAAGACCCAACCGATCAGCTGGGATTTGGGAGGCAGAGAATAGATGGGGACGAGGCCAGTCAGAGGTGGTATTTGCCGGTTCTCTGAACTACTCAAAATTTCCGCTACTGGTTCTCCAGAACTGGTCAGAACCTGCTGAATGCCACCTCTGATCAGTATCATTACCAAATATAGTAGAACCTCTGGTCACAACCATAATTTGTTCCATAACTTTGGTCATGACCCAAACCTAATTTTGGAAATTTGGTGCTTACAAAAAAAAAGGAAAAAAAAGAAATGAAAGGGGAAATCGGCCGCAAAAAAAAAAAAAATGTGAATTTTTTGGTCAGAACCCGATTTGGTTGTGGTCAGAAGCGTTCACGACCAGAGGTTCTACTGTATTCTTTTTCAAGCTTTTTAAACATATGTAAGGCTTTTACAGCTTTGTATTTAATAGTTTAGTTGGAATAACAAACATTGAATCATGAAACACTGGTTGCAATAATGAGAACAACATAGGAACCTACTTCAAAAGGGTTTTTTTTTTGTCACACATCATGCTGTCTGCTTAGAACAATTTATGAGAAAACATGGAACAGCAATGCATGCATTTGCCCAGGCCCAGACATCATACAGCGAAGGGATAAACATAGATACAGTGAGATAAATGTTCCTAACAAACACTCCAGCATTTACAGAAAGGAAAGAAAAAGCTACCTTAAGATTAGTTCACATTGCTTTTAAAAAGTGTGTATTCATACTGGAAAACTGCAGTTATAAACTTGAATGCCTGAACTTCAAATAAATTGCTTCATTTTTACCATTTATTCATTTACCATTTTATTCATTTATTCCCTGCCTTTGGGCTTTGTAATGCTACAATGTTAGGCCAGCATTGCACATGAGATCCTTAGCAAAAAAAGAAGCAGCTATCTAACAAGTTCTGAGCTGAGACAAGATCTGATCTATGACTCCCTACAGGTAGTCTCATTTAGTGACCATAATTGAAACTGACAATTTGGTCACTAAGTAAAGCAGTTTCTAAATGAAACCAGTGCTATGCTTATGATCATATTTCAGCTCTCTTTTGCTTTATGCACCAGCGAAGGTCATAAATGTGGGGATTGGTTACTTTTTTATCACTTTTGTAACTTTAAACAATAAATAAATAAGACAGTCACTAAACGAAGACTACCCGAGTATTGTAATTCAGTCGTCTATTATTTTTCAATTAGCTTTTAAATTAGCAATAGTGATTTTGAATAGATTTTAAATCATTTGAATGGCTTAATGATCTGATCTTTGCAGCAGAAAATGTTCCTATGCTACTTCCTAGAACTTAAGAGGGAAAAAAATGAATGAAATATATTGATTCCTTTGGATTTAATGTTACTCTTATTCATCAAATGAAGTCTCTCTCACACACAGTAACACTGGACACACTAACCTGTTAACTCAGTAAGTGATTCAAGTCTTTCTTCAAAGAGTTTTCCTGGATACCTTAAAAAGTGGTGATTCAGGACCAGATTTTTTCTTTGGGGATTTTCTGTTATCTATCAATTAACAAACACGTAAACAAAAACTTTAACAAGCTTTTGATGCCTAATGTGAGGCTAACCATTATTAATAACAATGGGAGATAATACTTCCCAGACACAAAATCAACAAATTTTGAGCTTCAAGCAGATTCACAGGGGTTTGGGCACATTTGCCACAAGCAGACTACAATTCCCCAGCCTTTCCTTTCTAAGCTAGACAGAATAGTTTCTCCTTTTGAAAAAAAAAAAAAAAAAGCAAAAGTTTTGGATCACAGGTTGGAAGCCAAGAGGATTAATTGTTTCCCCTCAGGCTTAGATGTAAACTGGAATCTGCAGGTAGCAGGATTTTCCAGTAGAAAATTAACACAGAAATAGTATCTTTTCCAAGGCTGCTCTATTCTCTAAAGGAATAGAGAAAAAAGTAACTAATTTTGCACTAACTTTAATTTCTTTGTTGCCTGGTCAATGTTTCATTTTTTTCCTGGTGTTTTATGTTCTCCATACATATTTGGAATATTACATATTTTAATGCAATTTGGAAGCTTTTTTATCTGCCCAGAGCCTTATAGTACCTTTCATAATTTTTCCATGTGAGTTCCTTTTCAGTAACAATCTGTGATCTGAATAACTTTTATTTTTATTTCCACTACTGATGGGTATTTTGAATATGAAAGAGAGAAGTTGAAAAAGGGATTTTTATATTTTCTTTTTTTAATTGTTAATTTTGTATATATATCTTGTTAGATTGAAAAATATTTATGCCAAGGCTGGAGGCAAAGTTAGGTATGAAGTGGGCTTCTTAGAAAACACACTGAGACTCTTACTCTTTCATCTTATGAACTCAGCCCTGCCATTACAGTGACAGTAACAGTCTGGTTAATAAAAAAATGTATTAATAATTCTAATGAGATCCGTAATCTGGGTAATATTCCTAACACTGCTATCTTCCTTTACTTGCAAGAATGTAAAATAAAAAAAATCAAACAATATATGTTTTTTTCCAGAAAGCATGCACAGATCTTCAAGGAATGCAAACCTGTTTAGTGTTGTCATCAATAAGGTCAAAAAATGCTCTGACAGTAGCCAAGTTCAATTCCTTACACCTAAAAAAGAATATAAGGGAAATATGCTTGTAAAAAACAGACAAAATAAAAGTCAAATAATAGTCACATAAAAATATTTGAACAGCAGTATAACAGTCGTTGTACCAAAAAGCTTTTAACTACTCACCAAACAATGGAAAGATGATCTGTGGAAGCCCAGACTCGAGGAACTGCTGAACTCTGATTAAAAAAATATTTGTATTATTCATTTTAAAACTGAACATCCAAACGTTTATTTATTTACTAGAAGCTAATGTCTTGATGAAAAAAATTGGCTGAAATCCTGTTTACATTGTTATGACTAAAATCCAAAAACCGAGCATGTTATATAGAACATGTGACTCTTTTCTCCCTCTCTGAACAGCAGACAATTCTGCCATACTTTGAAATGCCTGCTCATTTTGCCATTTGGATGCTGCTGTACTGTTGCTTGAGAAGAACCAGGAAAATATGGTCTTACACACTTACATAAGATTAATTATTAATTTAAACTGTGTGCAGATTCAGATTTCTTTATTGATTCAATGAATTTGTGAGACACCTCATAAACTGAAGCAATAAAGATTAAAAACTGAAGTACAAATATATAAATTGGATACAAACTAGTATGAGCCAACAGTTTAGTTACAGCTAATATGATTTAGACATCCTCTTTTAGACATCCTCTTGGAGTAAAATCCAAGCTGGACATGGCAAAAAAAGGAAAGAAAGTAAATCGTAGTCTTTGTTCTCTTGAGTTTGTTTGTTTGCTTGCAAACATTTCATTACCCCCCTAGATAATATCACCAGTGCTACTGAAGGTGTGCTTTACTCCCTGTTTATATGCAATATACTAGTTGGGTAACAAAATGTCTGTAAGAAAACAATCAAGTTCAACCCTTAACTTACCTATATTTTCTTCTATAGAGAAAATTTTAAATCAAATATAATGTGTGATTTCTTGAGGATGGAAGAATTTCCAAATAAATGTAGCAATGAATGCTACTGCTTCCACTCAAATTGAGAACTCAATTTAGAATGTCACATTCAATTAGGACAAGTGTTAGGGCAAGAAAGAACTAAACTATTCAGTAATATTTAATGGTCATCAAAAGCCAAGGCTTAAAAGCAAAAATTAAAGAATTTACCACAACAGATAAAGCACAATTCTGACTACTTGAACTGGGCAGAAAAGCCAATCCAGAGCGAACTTGATAATCTCGAAATCCTCCTGCTACCGAAAGGGTTGTTAGATTCTTTATTTCCTGAGCCTTCTGAATCCAGTTATGGTTCACGGTTGAGTAAAAATCTATGAAAAGAATGTTGTTTTAAATATCATTTTTTGTTTCCCGAGATTCAGCAATATCTTCAGTATAGTTCATTTTGTACCACATATCAGCATATTTTACAATTCCTCATTTCTTCACTATCCAATTTCAAACAAGAAAAAATTAAGCCAATTCAGCATACCAATAAGGCAAAATAATAAATCTCATTCCAGAAATATATAGAATTAAGATAATTTAAATCTGGCAAGTTAAAACTATTCTACATAAGGTAATCACAAGTTGGTCAAAGATATCTAGAGAGTTTTGCTTGCCATAAACATTTATTTATATATATGAAATATTTAATGAAAATTCATATTGATATGCATTAATTTCAAAGTTGTAGTCATTTTAAAAGCAGTAATCTTATCCCAATGTGATATTTTACCATATCCATTCAAATTACTTCTATACATTTAAACATATTTCAATATGTAAATTAAAGTATTTTATAAAAACTGTACAAACTAAATCCTACTCATACACACAGAGATACATATTGCAATAATTTGGATTATAAGTTTTAATTGCTATTGTTAATAAAATGGGCATTTTTATAGACTAAGGGGTACAGATTCAATCTTCATATTTGAACATATACAAAAAATGTTTTGATGTGGAACACTGAAATATATTCTGGTTGTTCCCCTGATACATCAAATTGGGCCAGAGAAAAATGTCTGCTATGTGAAATATATATGAACTTTAAAAACATAAGTCTGGATGATTGTGTAATTGTAATATAATAGAGATGGAAAAATTTAGCTCTATCTTATTTAGTCTGAGTTCCTATGTTTGAATTCTGCTATAGTTTTTTAAAAATAAATTTTATTAATCATATTTTCATCATAAAAACATATTTCCACTCATTACAGCATTTCAATATCAGTGTTCACTCACATTGACATACTATCTAATCCACAATACATAGAGTTAGCATAACCCAGCAATTGCAGTCAAACCATTATGGGGAAATTTTGTCCCACAGTATCATCCAAATGCCCACAGAAGTGAAGAAACTGAAAATAATATCTGAAGAATTATGGAGTACCTTGGATTTTTTTCAGAATCCAAAGCTAGTAATCCTATCCAAACACAACACAGAAATAGAATATGATTGTTATTAAGCCCCTGTCTTGCTTAAGCTCAGGCACGTAAGTGGCCATCATTGATGCTGCCTGAACATATTTAAGTACAATTATTTTCATCATAAAATTTAAGGCTACTTCTATATGCAGGCCATGATTAAACAAGTACATATTGAGAGAAATCAACTTTTGAAACTGAACATCTTCCACATTATTCTACCGTGTTTCTCACATAATAAGGCCGGGCCTTATTTTTTTTTGACCCCCGAAAAAACGGCTAGGACGTCTTTTCGGGGGTGACTTAATTCCCCCACCTTGCATCCTCGGGTCGGTGGGCGGGCAGTGACAGCTTGGATATTCGGGAGACCTTCGGGTTCGGGCCACCATTGCTTTCCCTTCTCCCTTGCTTTCCCTTCTCCCTTGCTTTCCCTTCTCCCTTGCTGCCGCGGCATTAGAGCAACACCGTGGCGTTTGGCGCAGCCACGTGCGGCCAGTCAGGGCTCCTCCCTGCAACCGGAGCCCTGAGGAGACACTTGGCTTCAGGCGCTCCCGTCTTCCCTTTGCTTTCGAAGGTAAAGCGAATTATTTTACAAAGCCTCCCCTGCCCGAGAGGGCAGCCCAACCTCACGTGGGGAGGCTAATTTCCTGGGGCCTCTTCCGTTCCTCCCCGACCTCCCTACACTGCGCGCCTCTGATGCACCAGTCCCTTCAGCCCAGCGAGCTCTTCCACCTCAAAGAAAGGCCAGGTGGGCTGCTGCGGAACAGCAGCAGCGGGTCTGAGCCGCTCGCAGCGGAAACAGCCACCACCCTTAGCCCAACGTGGGGAGAACGAGCGAGGTTAGCGCCCGCCAGCCCGTCCTTCCTGCCTTTGGAGGCACCTGCACCGAGCGCCTCCGCGGCTCGGTTTCCCCTACCGGCGGGTCCTCCTTTCGTGGCTGCCCTCTCGGGCAGGGGAGGCTTTGTAAAATAATTCGCTTTACCTTCGAAAGCAAAGGGAAGACGGGAGCGCCTGAAGCCAAGTGTCTCCTCAGGGCTCCGGTTGCAGGGAGGAGCCCTGACTGGCCGCACGTGGCTGCGCCAAACGCCGCGGCAGCAAGGGAGAAGGGAAAGCAACAGTGGAAGGTCTCCCGATATGAAGTGCCCCACCAACGCAGGCAGCACCATATCCGGGCATGCAACAAAAGTACTTCCTAACAGCAAGCCCCCCCCCGCTTTCCCCCCCATTTCACATGTTTAATATGGGGCTTAATTTGGGGGGAGGGGCTTAATTTGATTTTATGCCAATAAAACATGGTGGGGCTTCCTATTGGTGGAGGCCGTATTGTTGGAGAAACACGGTACTCTACAACACATTTCTGGTGAAATTGCTAATAATAGTAGGTATAATAATAGAAGGTATAACAAGGAAGATTCTAAAATGTCTAATAGTGTTTTCCATTAAATAAATGGGAATGAAACTTATTCAGTTACTCAAAAGTGAAAAAGCAAGAGCAAAAAAGAGGGGGAAGGCAAAATAAAACTCTACCAATCCAAACATTCTTAGGGGTGAACTTACCAGCAAGATATTGATCTAAAGGCAACACAGGTGCAACATGAGGTGTCGCTTGAGTAATAAGAATATTGATAAGTTCGGGTTTGAAATGTTTAAGAATCACTAGTGCTCTTGCAACAAGACCACCCATGGAATGACCTACTACAGCAACACTGCGGGGAGCAAATTCATGACCCTTCAAAAAATAAAGAAAAATAATCTCACATCAGGCACAATGAAAACATAATAAAAGCACAAATTCTCTCCCATTTAATAGTTAATATGTCAATCCTTTAAGGTGGACCAGACTAAGGAATTGACACTGTTGCCCAAAGCTGTCTTTATTAGAATAGCTATAATATACAGGTGTCAAACTCGCCATGTCATGTTGCCATCACATGACGTTTCGTGAAGTTTCTCCCATTTGCGGAGCTGGGGTGGGCCTTCACATGATGCATCTGGCCCACGGGCTACCAGTTTGCCACCCCTGCTATAATAACAGAATCTTGCAAGTTTGAATCTGCTTCCCATGCTCCCTCTTTTATCTTCAGCTGAATTGTGGGGAGGACCTGTCTGAGGTGTCTTCTTAAATCACTTTCTTGGTATGGGCTCAAGCCACATATATCTGATCATTGCATGGTAATGGATCTTCTCTCTGTTCATCAAGGCCATCTTCCATATTTTCTGCATCATGGGGATAATGGCACAAAACAGTAAAAAGCTAATATGCATTGTGTTTATCTCCATACCTTATATAATTTAAGAATTATTTTAATACACTCATGCACAAATCTTGTCTGCTTTTGTAGACTTCCACCATATAGTGCAACAAGCTCCTCATTGAAATTCACACTGAAGACATCAAAATGATATTTGAAATCCATATCTTCTGCCTTTCTCAGTGCTATTGATCCAAGAGAACGTACTGAAAAAAGCATATATTAGAAGCAGAGATAATTAAAATTCCGGATTTGGATGATGAAGTAGATCCCTAAAAGAGGCCATGAGGAGGCAGAAAACAAAACTAAGAGGATTTTTTTAAAAAACCTTCATTCTAATGTTTATGTTTTTAAACTCCAAGTTCCAAAACTCCATGCTTAATATGCAGTGTAACTTGAGAACAGCAATATTATTTTGAAACAGAACCTTTAGAAAAGTTGAAACACTCTCAGCAATTTTAGTGAGCTCCATGGATTCAGAGATGTAAAATAATTAATACCAGGGGAACTGCTGTTGAGACAGTGGTGGGGATTCAGTGTATGGTACTCCAAAGAAAATTGATTATCTGACCCTTTTAGTCAGAATTCAGGCCTGGCTGTGAAACAGAGACATCAATGATAGTAGTTTTTTTTTTTTTTGGTCATGCCCAAGATGAAGATAGTACACCTATCTGTGCCATATTAGATCTCTCATGGCCTTCAATATTGTCATCCATGTACTTTTGGACCACCTGTGAGAGATTTGGGGTATTACGTTGCAGTAGTACCAATTAGAGAAGGGGAAGGGAGGACAGAGAAGGGGAACTGACTTAGTTGCTACTACTTTGTGGAAGTCAGAGATCAGTCTTTTCCGACTGCTATTTAACTCATACATGCAGCCTCTGGAAAAGGTAATCTAATAGTTTGGGGTTGGGTATCATTAATGATTAACAACTGTAATATTGATACTCCAGGCCAGACTCAGAATTTATTGAATCCTTATCCTAATGCTTGGAGGCTTAAATTGAAATCTTAACAAGACACTTGTTGTCCAACAGAGATATTTGTCTGCTCCAGTAGTCTCTTGACAGGGACTAGCAGCCTATAATGAGCAAGCCTGTGACTTTTGGGTCCTTCTGGATTGTAGCTCCATTTAAAACAGAAGGTGAAAACTGCAGCCAGTGCTGGCTTTTTCTACTTTTGGGTGTTTTGGACCCTACCTTGAAAAGGAAGACCTTACTATAATGATTCATCTCCTTGCTACCATTTGTTTACATTACTGCAAAGACCTATACGTGGGAATCTTTTGAAGAGTACTCAGAGGCTTCAGTTCATTCACAATGCAGCAGGCCAACTGCTAACCAGAATTTGCCAGAGGGAACACATTACACCAGTGCTATGGGTGCTACACTAGTTACAGACAGATTTCCCAATGCAATTTACAGTGCTTCTGATACTGTAGCTTACATAATATACAGTATGTGGCTTGGCTACAAATTATTGGATTATTATTGTATTTTTTCAATGGATTTTATTTATTTATTTAGCGTATGGCACGTGTTAACCAGGGATTACTGAGGAGGCTGGCTGCCTCTGTGAAAACTCTGTGGTGTTATCTTTACCCGTGGGACATCTGAATGCTGTTAGGCAATCAGGGGAGGTTCCTTTCTTGTCCCTCCGTGAGTTTTTTAATTTGCTCACAGGAATTGAGCTGAGCTGTCGACCTCAGTGGTGTGGAGACCCAGTGTCTTACCATGTGAGCCACCACGCACCACAATTTCAATGGAATTTGCTCAGCTAACTCAAGCTGTCCAGGAGAAACTATAAATGGACCTCTGCTTTAAGGAAGTAGTAGTAGGGAGGTTTCCTAGCACTGTTTTTGGAATAGTTCCCAGTGGACTACTCATCTGGCTCCCAGCTGGAAATATTTCAAAAGTAATCTCCTTTGGTTGGCATTTGGTCCTTGATTCCATCTCGGTATGGTCGTAGCCTAGCTTTGTTACTTCATTTTATTCTGCATTTTTTACTGTTTTAATTGTGGCAGTTTAAAAATGTAATTAATAAATGTAATGAAATATTGTAAATGCAAACCATTTATTATCCAGGTAAACACAGATTCATGTAAAGTTCATTATTCCCATGCAATTTCCTCTTTAGGTATTCTATAGAGATATTTCTATTCCTTTAGAGATAGCTTACCTTGCTTAAAACTTCCAGCATTGCCAGGAAGAAAAAGAATAGGAATCCCTGTTAAGATTAGATTTCTGTTTTCTTCTGCAGAAATTCCTTCCCCGTAAAGATATAGCTCATAGGCTGGGTAACGTCTGAATATTTTCTTAGGTAATTTTATTCTCTGAAACAAAAAATGTATTTCAACAGAAGAAAGGTAACATTTTGCTATTAAGGAAGAATCTAAGCAGCTGCAATGTAAATAAAATTTACACAAGAAAATGTATTGTGCTATTAATATGAAGCAGAGATACTTTTAAAAAGCCTGAAACAATATGACAGCTTTTTGAATATTTCACTATCTTCTTTATGTAATTAAAGAACTGTAAATCTGAAACATTTGCATTCTTCTTCCGACAGTAACTTTGGAGAAGATTCTGAAATGGAGAACCAAAACTTACAATTTGCTTACACAGGTAAACTTGCAATTATAAACTTTATAGCACTAGCAGGGGCAATTGTTATTTTCCCCATCCAATAGATATAAACACATATTTCAGCCTTCCCCAAGCTAATATTTTTTCGGTATTCTCATTAGCTATAGACAGCATGTTGAACCGAAATAGGGCAATTCGCCACAGTCAATTCGCTACAGCCAATTCACCGTGGCCAAGTTGTCATAGCCAACTGGCTATGATCAACTCACCATGGCCAACTCACCACGAGACAACTCTCCATGGGGCAATTTAACAATTCAATTTAATTATTTAAAATAAATTAAAAATTATTGTTGTAATCACTTTTTGCATCCTTTCTTTAATTATTCTATTCCACCATTTCTTTGATATTAGTGTAACTCTTGTCCCACAGCAAACTGAGTTATCCCACGGCAAATTGGCCATGACGTGTTAGCTGCAGCAAGTTGGCTGGGGCAAGTTGACTGTGGCTAGTTGGCCTTGGTGAGCTCGCCATGGCAAATTGTCATGAACAGCCAGAAATAATGGAATTAGATGGCACATAATCATTATTTTTAATATAAATCCAGTTTCTATATTTCTGAAAAAGAATAATAGCTGTTACGCTATCTCTTGTTAATTTCTGGGATCCTCAAGTCACCATACTAAACTCTTCCCCCCATATATAGTAAATATATAGACATCTTTGTATACAATCATATAAATATTATATGCTGCTCTATGTAAAGTATATTAAAGATATTCACTGGAAAAGAAGCTTTAATTTAATATTGCAATATCTTTGAGTAATTAAATTTTGTAATGTTTTTCTACTTTATCTTAGTTAAGCAAAGTTCGGTTAAAACCTTTACTGATTCTTCTTCATATTTCTGTAGATATCCCATCAATTCTCTGTAACTTTGTGACTTTGAAATGATCATAATGCTGATCTAATTTCATCTTCTAATATTAGATGTTTTTGTTAAGTAACAGGACTTTTCTAAGCTATCTTGCATGTTGACATCTCTACTATACCAAATTTCAGAATTCTCCTTCCATCTTTGTTGGATTTCTTGGAATTGGTTATTAACTATCCATTGATATCCTTTTCTACACCAGCATGAGGTTGGTATTTCCTGAGCTTGGAGATCTTTCAAAGTTTTCCCCTGTATTCCTATGCCTGTTTTCAATTTCAATATCTTCATATAATATTGTTTCTCTTGCTTCTTAACAAGCACATAGTGAAGAATTATTAACAATTCTTTATTAAGTTTCTTCCTGAAATCCTGATTGGCTTCTCTTGCATTTTTGGCAATTTCCAACATTTATTCTCACATTTGTTCCATCTGCCTTCTTCTCTTTCTTGATCATTGTCAGCATCTTTTGACATTCATCCTTAACTATTTAATTTCATTTCATAATTCTTCTAGTTCCTCATTAATAAGGCTCAGGACTTCAAAGTAATTCTTGATAGTCTCCTTGAAAATGGGGGAGGGGGATATGCTCAAGATTATATACTAGAAACTGTCTGGTTTTCTTTTTCCATTTTAGCTTATCTTATAACTTGCATATTATGTATTCTACTATTCTACAATCAACCCTGGTCACATATTTGCTGTTATAACAGAACAACTTTTATACCAATCAGGAATGAGATTATAAGAATCAGTATAAAACCAATCTGAAACTACATACAAAAACAGTTTGCCTTGAGATTCCATATCATACAAGGCATATAGAAAAAGAGTTCTGGATGTTTTCTTAGCAATTTTCCTCTTCTGATCTGCATTACTGCATAGCTCTATTAACTCTTAAAATTTAAGCATCTTGTGCCTTTTACTTAATTTCAGCCAAAGTACTTTAATTACCCCAAGCTGACAGAAATCAGATAAACAAATCATAAAGATAACCAGTACTTGTCTTTCCTGTTGATTTGCTGCAAAAGCCCAAGTAGTTATACTGACATTCCCACACCCACCATACGTTAAACTAGCTATTTATTATACTTAACAAATTTAGCCCACAGCAACTTCCAACTACCAATTAAAGTCATGTGTACAACATCTGCAGAACTCTTCTCTAAAGTCTTTTAATAGTCTCCATTTCATTATACTGTTTTAAAAAATCTGTTGTTTTAAGTAATAACACTGTAGATATATATTATCAGGAGGCTGTACTACAAGATATATCATTTATTTATTTATTTGCTAAATTTGTTTGCCACCAATCTCACTGTGGGGCTAGTCTAACTGGCTTACAATAAAAAGAAAGAAATGAGAAGAATGTGAACAGAAGTAAGATAACAGAGTAATACAATAAACAGTGAAAAAGACCATAACAAGAAATATAATATTCAGCTTTGTTTGGGTATTTTCCCACGTCATTGTAGTTATGTTCGTCTACGAACACAATACAGAAGCCTGATGATGGCAGATGAGATTCTGTCGAAACGTTGCTACAAGTTTAAAAGCACAACTACAATGACGTGGGAAAATACCCAAACAAAGCTGAATACATCTAGGTGTGTTCGGGTCTTTTCCCATGTAAGATTAAGAGTATCTTGGCAACATTTCAGTGAGGTCCCACTCGCCATCCTCAGGCTGCTGCTTTCAGCTTCGTGCCAGTGCAAGCAGTGTGTGATCGGAGCTGCCGTCTCTCTATAAATACTGGTGGTGGGGACTGGTGTGCTGGGCTGGTTGGCTGCGCTGCTGCCTCTTGACTGGTTGATGGACTTGATGTTGGTATAATGGGCTGCGTGATGGCCTTGTGAGTTTTCTTGTGGAGATATCCTGGATCTTGTGCTGTAATCTCCTGGGTCGTTTGTTTTGTAGTGATCTTTTTTCCATTAGCCTCTTGTGTTTTAACAGCTTGGGTAATGGGTTGTGTGATGGGCTTGCGAGTTCTTTTGTTGTGGTATCCTGGGTCCTGCATTGTAATTTCCTGGGTCATTTGTGTTTTGATCTCTTTTCCATTAGTCTCCTGTGTAGTAACGGCTTGGGTAATGGGTTGTGTGATGACCTTGTGAGACTTATTGCTGTGGTATCCTTGGTCTTGTGCTGTGATATCCTGGGTCATTTGCTGTGTTGCAACTTCTTGAGTTCTTGTGGTGTAATTTCCTGAGTTTTCTGATGTGATGTCCTGAGCGGGTGGCTGTGATGTTTTAGTCTGGCTTCGAGTTTGGGGTCTGGGTCTGTGTTCTTGGCGTGTGTCAGCTTGTTTGGTTTTGGGGTCGGGGGTGCGGCAGCTGGCAAAGCAGCCGTGGTCAGCTACAGCCCCATGCTGCTACAGCCCCATGTTGAAGCAGCAGCTTCACATGTACAAAACTCATACCACCTCTTGGAAATGATCAATGGAGAACAAGAAGATCTGCTTGTAAGTTTCGATGTGGTTTCACTATTCACTCAAGTCCCGATAAAAGAAACTCTTGAAATCATCAAAAATAAATACCAACCAGCTAAACACCTAATGGAACTAGAAGAACACTGCTTAACCAACACATATTTCATATACAAAGGACAAAGATACAAGCAAATTAAAGGAACCCCTATGGGATCACCACTGTCACCCATCATTGCAAACCTGTTCATGGAAGAATGCGAATCCAGAGCCCTAGCTAATGTCACCCAAAAACCCAAACTATGGTTAAGATACATTGATGACACATTTGTGATTTGGCCCCATGGAAAAGAAAGCCTAAACAATTTCCTAACACACCTAAACAGCACACACACCAAAATCAAATTCACCATGGAAACGGAAACAAACAAACAACTACCATTCCTAGATGTACTAATCTACAAAGAAACAGATGGCACACTAGGACACACCATATACCAGAAGAAAACACACACCAACCGCTACCTCAGTGCCCAATCCCACCACCACCCAGCACAGATAAACTCCGTGGCCAAAACACTAATCGACAGAACCAAACGCCTGGCAGACAAGACACACATAAAGACTGAACTATGCACCCTGACTAAAGTACTGACAGCCAACGGCTTCCACAAAAGCAAAATCACCGGCTTGATCCACAAAAACACATGAGACATAATGGAGACCTAGAAGATGAACAGACCTATGGAACAGCTGTCCTGCCCTACATAAGAGGTACTACAGACAAAATCAGTAAGATAGTACACAGGCATCACATCAAGACTGCCTTCAAAACAGACAGAAAAATAGCAGCCATCCTAAGAAACCCCAAAGATAAAATTGACCTGGAAAACCAAGGCATATATGAAGTCCCCTGTGCATCATGCCCTACCACATACATTGGACAGACCAATAGAAGAATAAGTACCCGCCTGGATGAACACAAAAATGCAATAAAAAAGCTGGAGCACACTTCCTCACTAGTCCAAAGCATGAAAGCCACAGGTCATAGCATCGACTTCAATGGCACCAAAACCCTAGCCACTATAGAAAACTCCAGCTACAGAATTATCAGAGAAGCCATAGAGATTGAAAAAAGACCTGAAAGCATGAATAGAAGAGATGATTCCACTAGACTGTCAATTATTTGGAAGCCTGCACTCACAAACAAAAAAATCTCCACACCACAAGCCAGGCAAACACCTGGGCACAAACAGATCCCCCCGATACCTCCAGCTCAAACACACCCCAACCAGGCACCCAGATGAAACCTAGCTTCCTAACAAATGATAGCGGTCCATTTACTCGGAGCCAAGCCGCACTAAAAGCCTCCAATACAGGAAACACAATGTTGCCAGCCAATCAAGACAAAAAAAGCTACAAAACAGACAGAAGATATTAGAAACACCAATCAAGCAGAACACAGCAAACTCCAAGACCAATAAACACAGACCAAGACTCCCAACCAATCAGGAGGAAGAAAAAACCATTCTGGCACAGCAGTAGGCTAGCCCCAAATTTAAAACAGAAACGCATGTGAAAGCCTGACTCACCTACGAACACAATACAGAAGCCTGATGATGGCAGATGAGATTCTGCCGAAACGTTGCTACAACTTTAAAAGCACAACTATAATGACGTGGGAAAATACCCGAACAAAGCTGAATACCATACATACATACATACATACATACATACGAATATGGCAAGGGCCTGTAGACCAATATCCATTTGCCTGGAATAAACCTCACTGAAACAATGGCTATTGACTAGTTTAACAGTGTAGAACTATTTCCTATATAAGTTTTATATTTGAAAGTGTGATAAATATTTACTTTGTTAACCAAACTTTTGTTTGACAAATTGAATCAAACAAATTGAATCCTGGTCAAAATTGTGGGATCCTTCCCATATATTACTCTGGAGAACATATTTTAGAATATTTTCCACAAAATTTTTATTTTTCCCCAAAAAAACTAAAGTGTGATTGTTTTATTACAGGAGTCCATGTGAAGAGTATATTTCAAGGCTCTTGACCATTAGAGGTATTAGCAAGAAATAGCATGTGAGGCATCAAATACTAAGTATCAAAGTAACTAAAGTATCAAATACAAAGTAACCTGCACTTTAAAGCTAATTATTAAAGTTCTTAAGGCATCTCAGAAAGAATAGCTTTTACAAAAGCAACATTGTGTGTTCTGTAGTAGCTTAGTGACAACCAACTTGGGATCCAAAGAATTTATATACCACTTCTTCTCACATTAACCTCCTATTTATACACTGTACACTGGATAAGGGCCATCTCTGAGATCCTATTGCCAGAAAAATTAATTATAAAATCAGAATGCTATCCAAGGCACATTTCTGGGAGTCAAACCTGTATTCTTCTGGGGAAAGTATTACAGTATTAGGGGTGACCCTGCATTCTCAAATTAGGATTAATTACATAGTTGTTTGCTTTAATATTTTACTCTATTAATGTTCATCATATTTTCATTCCCTACATTAGAATCATTTTTTGTGGATGACGGATATTTTAAACAAACAACTTGGGAAGAAAAAAAAAACACTTCCAGCTTTTTGCTTGCTGAATATGCTATATAAGGAATATCGCTTCAAGGTAGACAAAAATAATTGCTGAATAACACTTATTATAATTATAAAGGCAGATTAATTGCTTCACTTCCCAGGCCTAAAACAACCACATGAAGAGAATGATACTAAAGAAAAAGAGTTGCAGGAGCTTCTGCTTTTGCTTTCCTATCATACCATCATGCCCATTACTTGTGATACATGTCTACACTGGTTTTGGTCTGTAAATAGCGCATGGCATTATTCATAATGATAAAATTGCTAACATTATAGCCATCTTTAAAAGGAAGATTGGGAAAGCTTTTGCATGGAATGCATGCATTGACAGAAACAAAATCTTTTCAGGATAAAATGTACTTATTCTGCTTTTGAAAAGACTGAACACTACTGCATTTTTTCATCATGATAATGATAGGAAAATACTTTGAGAACTTGGAAGCCACAAGACAAAACACATTTAGTGACTGTTCAAAGTTACAAAGACATTGAAAAAAAGTGATTTATGATTGTTTTCACAGTTACGACCTTTGCAGCATTCCCATGATCATGTGATCAAAAATCAGATGCTTGGCAACTGGTTCAGATTTATAACCATTGCTGTGTCCCAAGGTCATGTGATCCCCTTTTGCTACCTTCTGACAAACCAAGTCAATGGGGAAACGAGCAGGGGTGGGATTCTACCAGTTTTGCACGTATTTGCTAGAACTGGTTGTTAACATTCTAAGCAGTTCGGAGAACCGGTTGTTAGAAGAAATTACTGGCCTAATCCTGTAAGGAACGTAGGAAGGAAACATTCTGGTGTTGCTTACAGAAACTGCCTCTCCATTAACCCTTATTACATTCTTGGCAGGACTAGACTTCCTGTCTCTGGAACTTCTCTGGAGTTTTTTTTCCCTCCTTTGCTGGTACTTTGCTTGTGTGGAGTGATCATTGGCACTGAAAAGAGTGACTTATGATCATTTTTCACACAACTGTTGCAGCATCCCCACGGTCATGAGAGGCCAGGCGAGGAGATGCGTGCCTTGATGATATTGAGTTGGCCACGCCCAGCCAATAACATGACCACCAAGCCATGTCCACTTAGTCACATGACCACCAAGCCATGCCCACCACCTAAGCCACGCCCACAGAACCGGTTGTTAAAAAATTTGAATCCCACCCCTGTAAACGAGGTTCACTTACCAACCAAATTACTAACTTATCAGTGGCAGTCTTATCAACAGACAAGAAAGGTCGTAACTCACTTAACAAATGTCTCACTTAACAACATAAACATTGGGCTCAATTGTGGCTGTAAGTCAAGGACTACCTGTAGCATTTACTTCAAGGAAAAAGAAAAGTTGTATCAACCTTCACAGAGAAAATACATTGTGACTATTGGTTTGAATCCAATGAAACCTTACTGTTCAACATCCATGTTCTCTCACTATTACACAATTACTAAATAGCAAATGAATTGGCAACTTTCTAGTGGGTTACAAAAGTTAATGCAGCTCTGACTTTTGGCTTATATTTGATTCTTGAGTTCCAAGCCAACTTGGAAAACAGGTTTTCCACAAATATCAGCTGGGCTGTCTTTTCATAGTGAACCAATTTACTGCCACCTTTATTCCTCTAGGGCAGTGGGTCTCAAACTGGTCTCTCTTTATCCTTAAAGATGCTTTTTCAAGAGACAACTAGACTTTTACCACAAAGTCCAGATGCCTGTTGAAAAAGCATTTTTGGGAGAACCATGACCTGGATGACTGAGAATCTCCACTCTTTGCATTTTTAAAAAAATGAGTGAAGACCCCCACGAGTTTTGGCGTTTATGTGTATGAATATTTACCGTATTAGGAATCAAAACCAAGACATTTAAAAAAAAAAAAAAAACGGTGTCGAGAACCGCCAGGAATCCTCAGACCATCTTTGGAGAACCGTTGTTTTAGGGCATCCGACATAGCGCTTGAACCCCGGGAGGCTCCCATTGAACCAGAGGGGAGACCAGATACACACACACATCAGACAGACGGGCGCCGGTGGAATGAAAATGAAGCAAGATGAAAAGGGACCGTTCCGAAGTGCGGATGAAGGGCACAAGGCAAGGCGGTCTTTCTCCGAAGGAGCTGTCCCCGAGACCGGGGTGATGCTTTGCCCTCGGCTGCGGAGAGGAGCCTGCACGGGGTCTCGCCTCGCCGGAGACCAAGTTGCTCAGGAACTCCATTATAGAGAAAGCGGGTCTTTCTTTATAAGAAGGGGGACGGAGCCAGCCTCTCAGGGAGAACTCGCGGAAGGGATGGCAAAACGGGACACCTTGCAGCATGCCGCCGCCTGTCGCCCAGCCACTCACCTGGTACTCCGGGTAGTCGAACATGTAGGTCATGCTGCACCGGTTCTCTTCATACTGAAAGAAGACGTCCCGGGCTCCCAGCAGCACTAGAGCCGCCAAGACCCCGTGAAACAAAATTTCGGTCACCTTTCCCGCAGTCCACATGTCGTTTTCATCGGCAACCGCCCGGCTTTCCTCGCCGCCAGGGCCGCCTCTGCCCTCTCGCCGGCAGGCCACACCCGCCAGGAGGCGGGGAACCGCCCCGAGTGCCTCCCTCGTCGGACGGGGCGAAGCCGTGGAAAGAGCCCGGGCCTCCGCCATGTTTGGAAGGTCGACACAAACTGCCTCGGAACTCTCGGACGGGGTTCAGGGAGCCTTTCCGTTCGCCATCTTAGGAAGGTCAGTCGGATCGGGTGGGCGGGGCGAGTGGGCTATTAAGGCGGCCGGTGCTTGAGTCTTGGCGGCTTTCAGAGGGCAACTCCAAAGGTGCTTTTCTTTTTAAAACACCTTTGGGTCAACCGTGACCTGGATGACTGAGAATCTCCATAGACTTTCAGCGGGGAAGAATTCGCGGCCGTCGCTAACGGGGAATCGGGGGTTGGGGAGCCCAATTAGCCGCTGCGGAGGCTTGCATCTAATATCAATTTAAGACCGAATCATAAATCATAAATGAGCGCGAACGTGAAAAATGGGAAGGACGAAGAATTCCGACTATCCTTGGGAAATTAAGCCACATCTTTAAAAGATAACATGAGCGGCTTGTTGGACGAAACGTGTATTATTGAAACATAACACTTATTTAATAATAAAATAATTAACACATACCAAAGAATATCTCTTGAACATCACCCCTGAACGAAGCTATTTGCTTTTGTGGGTGTTAGATCCGGACTGTAAAACATTTCGGACCACCTGCTGGAGTTGTCCAACTCCCAACTTCTTGCTGTCATCTCCTGGTCGTCTGGATTCATCAACCCCGTTTTCCTCCTAATCTCTTACCGGCCAATCCTTCACCTGACTATATAAACCCACATGTTGTGTAGAAAATATATTTAGTGGAGTTTAACCCAAATCCTGCTTGCAACTTGTCAGTAATGTGAACTGAAGAGATGATGAGTCACATCTGGAATAGATGAGTTGCTACATCATACTATGCTTGGCTATACAGGTAATACTCAACTTACTGCCACAAATGTGCCCAAAATTTCCATTGCTAAGCAAAACAGTTAAGTGAATTTTGCCCCATCTTTCTTGCCACAGTTAAGTCGCTAAGCAAATGGTTGCAAGTTGAGGACTACTTGTGTTTTATTGACTAAACCATAAATGACTGGGTCTGCACAACATACTGTCCTATGCTTTAAGTCGTGGTTGATGATTTAAGGGAATCACTGTACTTGTTAGAACAGAACAGAACAGAACAGAATAGAATAGAATTCTTTATTGGCCAAGTGTGATTGGACACACAAGGAATTTGTCTTGCATATGCTCTCAGTGTACATAAAAAGAAAAAAAATACATTCATCAAGATACAAAAGATACAAAACTTAGTGATAATCATAGGTTACTAAATAAGCAATCAAATCACACTAGGAAACAAAGCAATATAAATTGTAAAGATACAAGCAACAAGGTTACAGTCATAAGTGGGAGAAGATAGGATGAGAAGAATAATAGTGATATAAGTCTTATTAAATAGTTCGAGAGTGTTGTGGGAATTAGTTGTTTAGCAGTGATGGCATTCAGGGAAAATACTGTCCTTGTGTCTAGTTGTTCTGGTGTGCAGTGCTCTGTAGCGTTGTTTTGAGGGTAGAAGTTGAAACAATTTATGTGCAGGATGTGAGGGGTCTGTAGATATTTTCACAGCCCTCTTTTTGACTCATATAGTATACAGGTCCTCAATGGAAGGCAGGTTGGCAGAATTTTTTTTTTCTGCAGTTAATTATCCGTTGAAATCTGTTTCTGTCTTGTTTGGTTGTAGAGCCAAACCAGACAGTTATAGAGGTGCAGATGACAGGCTCAATAATTCCTTTGTAGAACTGAATCAGCAGCTCCTTGGGCAGTTTGAGCTTTTTGAGTTGGCACAGAAAAAACATTCTTTGTTGTGCTTTTTTGATGATGTTTTTGATGTTAGGTGTCCATTTTAAGTCTTGAGATATGATAGAATCTAGAAACTTGAAGGTCTCTACTGTTGATACTGTGTTGTCAAGTGAATCTAGCTTCCCTATTGAACTTGCTTCTCTCTCAGAAAGTGATATGACACCAGGACACTGCAACTATCATAAATACATCACAGTTGCCAAGCTTTCTAATTTTGATCATGTGACCACAGGGATGTTGCAATGAAAACCGGTCATAAGTCACTTTTTAAAGTGCTTTTGTAAGTTTGAATAGTCACTAAGCAAATGGTTGCAAGTTGAGGACTACTTGTATTCTATTGACTAAGGCACAAATGATTGGGATTGCACAACATACTGCCCTATGCTTTAAATCGTGGTTGACATCTACAGTGGAGAAATTTATGAAATAGGCAAAATCAAAACAAAACATATGATACCTTAATGCAATGCCTAATCAGATTTCATTTGCACCATAAGTTGTTGTGGTTCGCTGGCAGCAGGTACAGACGGCTGAGGTCTCTGAGAGTGGGATGAGGGGCCTGCATGTGATGGGGCCAGGACTATCGGAGAGTGGGGTGCTGCCTTCAGAGCTTGTGGAGTCTGGCATCAGTGATGTAGAGGACCTCGAGGAGCCTGTGCCCAGTGCACATGCACAGGGCTCCTTGAATAAAATAGCAGCTGCAGCAGCATGGGCAACTCGGGAGTAAGGCTGCAAGATGATGGCTTCTCCCATAAGGGATAAAAGCCAGCCCTCAGGGGTTAGGTTCTTTGCAGGAAGCAAATAAGTTCTTTTAACTCCAAGTTCTTGTGGAAGTCCTGTCTATTCTGGTTTGTTTTCGGAGACTTTTGGTTTTGGATATTTCCCTGCAATTAATCTTGTGTTCTTGGCAGCTTTCACAACATTGAAAGGACTTGCTCTTATCTGGGACAATTAGTGTTAATGACTCTTTGCTGTGAATGAACAGAATTCACAGAGATGCATTAAAGAGGGTTGCTTTTATATATACTTTGTGTTTATTTGATTTGAATGAGGCTTGGGTCAGAACTTAAGTATACCTCTGTTCATACTATGTTGGATAAAAATGAATGAGACCAATGAAAAAATTACTCTAAATGCACTCAAAGTAAGAACTGGTTAAGTTTCATTAGATTAAAAGGAAATTATGTATATGCTTCTACTTGAATTCTGCTCTTTTTTTTTCTCAAATGATGGTTGAAGACATTCCACAATTATCTTGAAACCTGCCAAACTTGAAATGCAAGTGCAAAAATCTCTGCCCAGCCCTTAGTTAATATCAGGCCTGCTTGATAAATGGAACACATATTCTCTGCTCATGTTCTTTATTTATACTGTGTGCAAAACACCTCTACTTAGTGGAAGGGAAGGCGTCCTATTTCTTTGAAATATGTGAAAGTTCAGGAATCAGGGTGAGGCAGAAGATTTTGCAATTGAGAAAATTACAGAACTATTGTGTTTTTCCCACCAAAAGATCATTGTTGTACTGAAGATGCATATATTTGTGGTTTAGAAATAGATTGGTTCAGTCTCTGAATGAGCCAACCTCATGGCATTACAGAGGTTTGGCTTTTTTTTATTCAACCCAGTATAGAATCACTATGTGAAAATGCTCTGAGCAGTGTCCAAAGCTGACAGGTGGTGTAATGCTTAGAAGCAGTATTGCAGGCTAACTCTGCCCACAGCCTGAAATTTGATCCTGATGGGCTCAAGGTTGACTCAGCCTTCCATCCTTCTGACCCCAATAAAATCAGGACCCAGATTGTTGGGGACAACATGCTGATTCTGTAAACCACTCAGCACTGTAAAGCACTGTGGGCTGGTATATAAGTCTAGATGCTATTGCTAAATTTGCATTGAATTATTTTGTTGTAAAAATCATCGAACAAATTCCCATTCTTCACATTTGCAGGAAGAAATAAAGAAATCAGGCAATTAGAATGATGAAAAATTAATCTCAAGAGTTTAATGATACATAAAATTCCAACCATGAAGCTTAAGAGAACATAAATATAAAATAGTTTCTTACAAACAGTAACTTTCTGTACAATTGGCTTATGTACCAAACAATTTGGTAATGCAAAACCATCCAATATTATAGTTCCAGCAGCAGTCAACCTGATGTCTGTTTGCTTGCAAACAGTTTCTCTATTATTTACAGTATGTTTATCCCACCCCCCAATAAGTAAAGATGAGGCAAACTCAGTTAAGAAAGTAGGTGACTTTAGGCCAGCCCAAATCCCAAGGTAATGTTGTGGGGAAAAACAGAAAGGAGTCTATGTAAGTCACATTGAGTTCCAGTACAAAATGTGGGATATAAATGAAACAGATGAGCAGCTGGATGAATCTTTTGATTTGGAAACCATCTGGCAATGGTCCAAGAGATCCACTGTATGTAATGCTGTCTTACCATTAGGCAATCAGTTTTGTAATGGAGAACCCTACAGACTTCTTCTACAATGATTTCATAATAGTCAGTTGTTAATCTTTTCACTTGGGACTTATTTCTGGGTAACACTGCAATACTCAACTCTGTTTTCTATACAGTTTACCTACTGTATGTACAGTTATTAGACATGGGAATAAGCAACAGGCCACATCCATACAAATGCCTTTCTCCAATCATATTTGGTTCTTTTCTAAAAAAATCCTTTCTCCCTTCATGTCTGCTCCTTCAAGAATAAGGAACAGGCCTTTCAAACTTTACTGTACACTTCTAAGCAACAGAACTTAGTATAATAATTGATAAGAAGTTTATAGAAAATACTATTTTTCAAGATCTCCAGAGGCATATTTGTTATACCTGTGTTATAGAAGAATACATTTTTAATTTTCAGGTGTTTAATACCTGGATGAATAGATAACTTTTAGAGTAACGTTTTATTATTTTGCAAGGTTTTGCATTAGTGATTTTGTGGATATATCACTCATTTATGCTATTCCTAACAATTGCATTCCTTTATGTTTTTACAGTTTTAGGTATGTATTTTTATAATGTATTTTAAACTGTACTGTTCAGAAAGCTGTACTGACTAGTATTTTTCTGCAGTTATGTATTTCTTATTGTTTACAGGCATTCTGAAACCTGAATGTATGTAAAAGTGCTGATGGATGAATTTGGGGTTGCTATGGTATTTTACCATTTATTTGTAAAAGTATTCATCTGAATGCATTTTAATATTACTGTAATTTGCAGATGAAAGAGCCTATTACAATTAATACAGCATTCAGTATTTGAAAGGATATTAAACTTGAGTGCACTCAACCTATGGTTCAAATATCCATTTTTAAAACCACATAATTTAACACATTGGTTAATTCAAATTCAGTACACATTTTTTTAAAAATTAGCAACAAACCATTCAACAATATTTCATACTGTTTATTACAAATATTTCATACAAAATGTAACACTGGCACCAGATTCATGACACCATGGTTTGTAAAGATATATTGCACATGCTAAAAGCATAAAATATACAGACAAAACTACAAAAAAATTAGATATTGGCTTTTTAAATGTATGTCACTGCATTACAAACACAGATAGCTGCATTTAATACACACTCAAGATTGTCACCATTTTAAAACATCCTTCCCAATAACACTGACTTAAGGTTTGCCTTGTGTAATAAGAAAATGTATAAATCCCTATACAAATTTAGCATATTAATTTTATGTCAACACAAATATTTTTTTAAAAAAGACAAAGCCATAAAGCTTTGAAACAAAAACATATAGGTATTATATTGCTTCAGTATGATTCAAATGAAGGAAAGACATGTTCACAATAGATATCCAGCATACACAAATATAAAAAGGCACTCTAAAAGTTTCTTACATTATGAAACTCAGGTGCATTATCAAGTTTCTAAACAGAGAAGACAAGAAATTGAATTTACTCGATTCATAGTTAAATACAAAGGTTTGCTATAATAGTACCAAAACACAACATGGTGCCCTTTTAGTAGTGATACAGATATCCCCTGAGCTAGTTTATCTTAACACTTGAAACAATACAGATCAGCAAGGGGTAAGTGCCATGCATTGTAACCTGGCAGCTGAAGTTTCACATGAATGGAATACAAGCTGCTAACACAGAACCATAACTATAGAGAGGTGCATGCGTTATTACTCACCTTCTAGATCATGCTTCTCAATCTTTTATCAAATCAACACCACTGATGTCAGTAGAATAGAGTGCTTATTTTTTGACAAAAGCTAATCAAACAAAACAGGCCATAACTGACATTTATTACTATAGTTAAAATACAGTACCTTATCTGCTATTAAACCGTATTGCCATTTAGATAAAGCGATTAGAATGGAATCCATACTCCAGTGACACGAATTGCAAATTTCCCATTTTAATTATGGTTTTATTACTCTTTTATATGAAAATAATACACATAAAAGAGATAAGTAAGCATATATTTGGAGAAGATGGCACTACAAATGAATATAGGTCTCTTCAGAAACAAATTCTTTTAAGTTAAAAAGATTGTATAGCCAGGGATTTTAGCCCTATTGTCTTTTCAAGACAGTAGGCTGGGATTGTTGATAGGACAGAAACACATAATGTAGTCTGAACTCAGGAACTCAGAACTATATCCTATTACATTTCTACATAGCTGTGCAGAGGATTTTACTATGTTGAAAAAATGTATTTATACTATCACTATCACTGTCACTATCAAATCATTTGGGTGAGAAGATACTGTGAATATACTGTGAATGACTCCAATGCTGTAGAAGATTTCTGTTTGGTGGACTGTTCTTTGACCTCTGTTCCCCAAATTTGCTCTCCCCCTACCCTCCTGGCATTTTGTGGATGCTACAGTGGTGTGTGTGTGTGTGTGTGTATTTCATGGTGACTAGTTTGATATGATCAGCCAAGAAAAAGGAAGAAGAAAATGAGACGTTTTTTACTCAATTCTACATGGAAACATTTTGTTTCAAGTGATGTTTCATAATATTTAGTAATGTTCTAGAAATAAAACATTACAGTACTAAGAAAGAAAACTTATAGATTTGTAAGTGTAGTTTGATTTCCCTGATTGTTTGGTGATCTTTTTTTTTTTGGTGGTCATTCTCTTTATTTCATGTCTTCCTTCATAGCTATACCATTATAACCAAATGCATTGTTTCTTTAAAAAACACACACACAACAGCAAGATATTGTTAATAGATGATAAGTAGGCTCCAGATGACTCACAACTATGAAGGCATCTCCAAGCAATCACTGTTGCTGTTCTATAAATTCGGGCATCAACCTGTTATAGTCCTGACTTCAGCTGCTGAAAACTCCTCATGAGTTGATTAATTTTCTTTCTAATGAACCAACAGGGAAGTACTAGAAATGACTTTCAAATTATGCCCCAGCCCCTCAATTTCCTTCTATACTTTCCTTTTCTAGAAAAGCAGAAAAAGAGAAAAAAAAGAGACAATGAAAAAACATGAACAAGAATGCAAGGCAGATTTCTACAACACTGAAGCCTGGCAAAAGGACATGATATGATAGTGCTATGGCAGCTTAACAGTTATGGGAAAATGTGAGGTGAGAGTTCCCATCAACCAGAAAACAGCATGTCCCCAAGCTCTAATGTGAAAAGTAGAAAATTAGGGAATCCTCTGGGGATACAGCTGAACTCTGCTACCTAATAAAGATCATAATGTGAAATTATAGATTTTTCCAATGCAGGTGTGGCATGAAACCTTATGTGAAAATTTTTTAGATTCTTCTATACCAGAATTTATTAAAGTGTGATCTTAGGACCCTTGGGGAGGTCCCCTCTGTAAAAAAGATTTTAACAAGCAGAAATTACTCAACATTAGCCTTTTCCTCTTAAAGCACATTTAGAACATACAGTAATCTTCTACTTCCGGCGTAAAATTGGGCTTCTATGCTCTATAAAATGAAGGTACTCTAATTATTGGCTCATTAATGAAGTTTGTGACTTCATATCCAAGTGAAATTTTTGCTGAACAGTCAAGAAAACAAAGTAACCTTTCTACATTTTCCTCACTCTTTCATTTTCTTTTCCTTTTTCAAAAATCAGCTGTAAAACTACTGTTTATAAATGATTAAGATCTTTATGCTGGGAAGCACCCATAGTTTCACTACAAAACTTTGATTGTGAGTTTTAAGGAACGTCCAGTAGTCCTCAGAATTTAACTAACACCTTAAAACCCACAACAGGATTTCACATCCTCCGTATTTATTAGGAATCAAGGCAATAACTAGTGTGGGCCTTTCACATTATAGTTCCTAGTCAACGTACAAATATCATTAAAAAATACATATATGCTAATATTGCAATTTCAAAATGTTTGCATAAATATTGCCTTTTTCTTAAAAACTCATAATTACCATTTTGTATTTTAGAGGTCTGTAACAATTTATACACACTTGCATTCTTAAGAAAAATAGTCTCTTTTTATTTCATCATTGCTACAGAATGCAAATTGTAGTATGAAAAACTTATCTAAGACCTGATTGAAAGTGTGTGTCATGATGGAGAATTTAGTTAATCATCATAGATCAAATTGAAAACAATTGGGAAATATTTTATTATTCTAAATCAGGGGTGTCAAACTTGTGTCGTCATGTCGTCATGTGACATGACCCCTTTCGCTAAAACGGGTGGCCATGGCCAGCATATGACCCATTCAGCCCGTGGGCCGTGAGTTTGACACCCCTGCCCTAAATTATTCAAATAAAACTTGGGATAGTAAATGTTTCTAGAATAGAAGTGCATAAGTTTGTGCTTATTTATATTGTGAGAGAAAATTTAATTTCTGATATGTTAATCAGTAGTTGGGACAAAAAAATCAGTCATGTGGCAGAAAGATCAATTGATTTATGGGAGTATTTCTGATCCTAGTTTTTCTTTTGGTGGGGGTTGGGAAAAAAATTGGCAGATATATCTGTCAAAAAGCAGTATCTTGCTGGGAAGTTTTTCTCTCAATAGTTTGACCCCCCACTGGCTGGGGGTTGGAAAAAAGAAGCAATTGAGAGTTTCAGTCAATTTTGGTGATACCTTTTCATCTCAGGCATTTTTGTGTTTGAGTGGTAACTACAAAATGGCTGAAATCGGAGGAACAGTGTCACCTGTCTGAGAATAAAGAGTCTCCTACGAGGATTACATTTTAGATGTGTGCAAATTGATTTTGAATTTGTAGCACTTCTTCAAATACAGTACAGCAACAAAACAGTTTCAGTGAAATCAGAACAATATTGTGCAGAAACAGCTGTTTCAAATTTGAAATATTTTGTAATTTCCATTACAATGCAAGATGTATAGCCCAGAATGAAAATACATTTGACTTAGATGAAGGTACAGATTCAAGATGGAAACTTTTCCCGGAAAATCTTGTTTATAGAAGCAAAGTGAAACTTTGTTACATTTCACTGATCATCCAAGAATAAATTCACATATTCTGCCTCTAACATACTTCGATACATAGCAATGAGTGGTTATGTTAAATTATTTCAAATATCAAAGCAGTAAATAGTCTACTACTTCTGTTTCAGTTTTTTTTTAAAAAAGTATTTTGCTTCCATAAACGAGGAAGGACACTTCCCTCTTGATTCCACAATTCTCCTGTTGAACCACCACCCTTAAAGACTAAATCACACATTTTTTCCTCTATATGTTCCCCTCTGCTCTGCCAACAAATACTATGCAATATACTCCTCCACTGCGTTTGACAAAATATGCATGAAGCTATTTCCACTGGCTGCATAAGAGCTGAAAATGATAACTAAGTGCATTTGTTCCATCAAACTCAGCATACTCAATTTGTTTAAATTCATAGCTAATAACACATTATAGAATTAAGAAGGAGGACAAACCATGGTCAATTTTTCTGGGCACTTGTTTCATTTCAAATAAATATAAACACATTTAACATTACAAATACGAACACTAATCTGGAAAAATAAACTGTGATCAACACATCATCATCATTGGTTACAAATGTCAAAGTATCTACTAGAAATAACCCAAGACTCTTAATTACAGAAAACACTATTTGTGCATTGGTGATTAGAAAAGTTACTTGATTTTTTTCCCCCTTGCATTATTAAAAAAATAATAAAGTCTTCTGAAGCCTTTTGGTCCTCATGGTATAGCTGGTTAGTTCTTTATATTTTAAGAGTCTCACTCTTCTTTCTGTACACCTTTCTCAGGCGAGGAAAAGGGTCCGTTTGACCTAGAAGCTTTGGCAGAAGGAGTAGATATTCATAACGCAAATGTTTAAAAAGTAAATTGATGCCAGCAGGACTGTTTAGTACAACCCAGTTCCCTTCTGTATGATTACTTAACTTTTCCACTTTATGTTTTGGTTTTGTCTCCTGTTTGCATCTTAGCACAGCAATGGTAAATATGAAGGACTGTAATCTATCGTTGCATACTTTTCAAAAAAAGTCAGACAATACTTATGATAAAAATCACATTACACATAAAGATAACAAAAAGTCGATTCAAATGAGCAGGGTGAAACATTTAGGTGCGTTAGGCATTATATTTAGAACTGATTTTTCCTAAAACAAATAACTGCTGGACAGCACAGGTAAGACAAGTTCCCAAGGATCCCTACTTGGAGAGTGCAAATAAATCATGCATGCTTGTGCTGAATGGTAACAAAAATAAGGCAAATCTCATCTGCCTTTACAATAATCTCTTTGCAGCAGCTGCAGGTGGGTATGTTATGACTGAGGCAAACAAGATTTGATCCTAATGATTTTAAATTGCAAATGGAAGCAGCAAATACCTATTGTTTTAAAACACCTATTGGGTATAACTCTGATGAATTTAGAAGTCTGAATTACCACAGAAAATGGTGATGTTGGTAGTATTTGTTCAAACTCAAATCAAAATTTGTGGCTTTACCTTTGGTTTTTATAACAAAGATACCTAAAAATGAAGACTATATATCTATACAAGAGATACTAGAGATGGGAAGGTCTTCTGACAATCCAGAAACACCCTACTTGAAAAATGACTTTATATCAGCAATTTAATATAGCTAACATATTAATATAGATATAACAGTTCCCTGTTTACTTGTGCTGTCAAAACAGAAAAAGGCAGCTTCTTCTTTCTGCATATAATAGGAGGTAGAGACTTCCAGAGGAGCCCTTAGAATTTATGGAAAGCACAGTAGTGCTGGAAGCAAAACATTAACTAGAGTGCATTTTAAAAAAAAAATTGTTAAATTTTCTAAAAGGCTCTATTTAATTGCAAATTTTACTCTTTGCTGTTCTCATTCATAAATGAAGGTGAGGTGAAATTCAGATGTTTCTAAAGAAAATTTCAGATTAAATGCAAATGCAATCAAGAAAGGGGCACTGAATGTTAAAAAGTCAAAATGTTTCAGAATCAGAATCATTGTCATTGTATCCATTTTCTGCTCCTTCATCATTCATTAAAGTTTTACTATATGAGTTAAGAGTGTTGCTCATATTGGAGCTATTGCAGAGAAGAGTCCTGCTCAAATGGTCTTTTTTAAAAGAAACGAAGTTGAGCGGCGTCATTGTACTGGAAGGAGAAAAAGGCATCATGGTAGCCAAAATGAGTGCCAGGCAGTCAGCCACGTCTTTGTTAGGAGCGCAAGCCAGGGCTGGTGTATGACCTGGGCACAAATGCAGACAAAGCCATGGTTAGTACTAAGGGAACTAGGAAAAGATCTGAGCATTCCTTGGATACATCTCCAGATGAGCTCATAGCTAGGAGATGTATGTTTAGTCACCATCACAGCAGACAAAGCCAGGGTTATTTTAAAATTAGACATGCTGGGAAGGTACATAATTCACAAAGTGGTTCTCATAACAAGCACTATTTAATAAAAAGCAAAAGGCAACTTAAATTCTCCACAAAATGAAATAAAAACAGGTAGTCCACAGTCCTGGAGGACAATGTGAATCAATATGAGCCAAGACACTGTTAGACTTAAATCACAAGATAGAAGTTCATATAAGAATTATTCTAAGAGCAATATCTTTCACTCCAAAGAAACTGTGATATTTAAGAAAACAAATTAGTAATATAGATTACTGTATTTTTACAAAAATAATAATCTGAATAGCATTAATATAGTGGATGATTAATTCTGCAATATTTTCTATTAGAAAGTTAAATAAATAATTCAAATGTTCAATTTTAGCTAAATCCAATCACGTTTATTAAAATGTGACAAATGAGTCTCTCTCTGTAGGATAAGCATTGTGCTCTTTACTATGTATTGGATATTGAGATAGGGAAATCTTCTCTTGTAGAGAAAATGAAAAGCAAGTGGCCTCTTAAGAAAGTGGTTAGTTCTTTCCTTCTGCGAATATGTTCCAGAATATCAGGGAAGCTTGTTAGATATTCCATGACAAACAGCATCATAGAAATTGGATGTCAACACACACACACACACACACACACACACACACACACACACGTACATGCACATACACAGTCTTTTTTAAAAGCCTCTTCATAAGTTTCTGCACTATGCAATGAGAAGGAGGCTTGATATCTTTCCACATAGAAGAGAAATAAAGTATTAACAATAACAGGAACAACAATAATCTATAGAAAAAGACACTGGTATTTTTTTCTGCATAGCAATACTTTCCTTAGTTTCAACACAGTGCAAATGAGACTAGCTTCCCAATTAGGTCTTTCCATATATTCAGGAAATTGAAATCAAAAGTTTTTCACTTCTGTTCTTGGTTAAATATGGCTTTCCAAAGCAATGTTTAATATTGCTGAATACACTTGCTGAAGCAGATGAACTTTTCAGAACTCCTTGTTGCTAGACAGGAAATAGGAAGAATACTCAGCCCCAGGGGAAGAATAGGTTCATTATATTTCACTAATCTAATGAATGAAGACTAAACAAAAACGTTATGGGCAATCTATAGTCGATATCCCAATAATTATTATGGTGCACTAAATGCTAGAATGTCTATTTTAAGATATGATATTTAAAAAATCACAGCATTTAGCAAACCATCAACATGAAAGTGCGAAAGATGTTCGTAAACTACATATTTGTTAAAAAAAACAACCCCAAATACATCTACTATTAGTGGGTTGCCTTTTATATACACACATTAATATGGAAATTGATATTGATGTCATCTGTACTTATAATAATTAATTTAGAATGTGGACTTCCATGTAGCATTAAGTTACTTAATGGATGTTTTCTATCTGCTATGAAAATAAAGGGAAGCTTCAGAATAGTTCTGAAGTCATACAGAAGCAATTACAGTTTCATTTTAATTCAAATACTGTATCTAGATAAAGAAATGGCTCAAAACCATTTTCCAATGGAAATGAAGGACACAGTGCTGTATTCTGTTTCATGTAGATAGAATGTTAATTAGACAAGTAGCTGAACTTTACTTCAAAACTGTAAGACAACATTCACTACCCCAGATGATGGTAGGCTAACTCTGGGGACTCAGGGTAGCCATTGGCATATCCTCTTTTGTGTACCATCAATTGGCTGCAATCACTAGTGTTCTGCAACCTTCCAGAAAGAGCAGCAGCACTAGATATGTATCACATAATCAGAGCAACAAGTGTGCATGTGTAATGCTTACTGGAATACATGTCTTATCCTAGGTGGTTACTACCTGCTTGCTAAGACTTTCCCAACTATTTTGCCTGTGAGGCTTTCACAGATGTTAACTACTGAGGTAGCTAGACAGTGTAAGCCAGTATTATAGCATGATCTCAAAATTGTGAAAATAGTCCGGATGTCTTGTTCCTTGCCCAATCTTGTGGGAGTTTTTTTTATTTAGGTCTTGCTAAATTAGCCTGACCTACAAAATGGTTTTGGATATGCCTTACTTGTTATAATGCTTAGTAAATTCTTTCAAAGCATACATAATTACAAATAAGTTACTTATCTCATTGGCTGAAAGTACAGCCTCTAGGAATGGTTACTGAAATAAGGAAGTTGACTCCTGAATGTTATTCAAAGCTTTCTGAATAAACTGAATCAGGGTTAGTAATGAAGAATTGCTGGGAGGATGAGTTCTGTTGTTAAGTACTATTATAAAAATCTTTATTAGGTGTTTGCCTTTCCTCCTATTAGTGGGCAGAACCCTGTATTCTGCCCACTGTAAAGTTCAATAAACTTGGATGCAGCAGATTTTTGGATCTAGGGATTTTTGGCCTTCAATTAGTGTGAACAGTGGGATTTGTTATACATCTATCAGCAAACCGCTGGTAGAGGTGTGTAATTTTACAAAAATACTTTTTATAAGATGATCTCATTTTACGACAGTAATTGGGACCAGAATTTCCATCACAAAGCAATAGTCATAAAATGCAGTATCACATGACCATGTGTTTAGGAACAGAAATATCAGTACTTCCAGTTGCCTTCATTAAGTGAAATCATCACAGATTGAAACTACTAATGTCTTTTTCAAGATTTCACAGAATTGGGAAAAATGCCTTCTCCAAAAACTGAGGAAGAAGATTGGTATGTGTTTGTGTGTCTGTTTGTGTGCGTGTAACTTATTTCAGTCCTTTCTTCTTATTAAAAAGAAATTAAAACATTTAACTGCCATCATACAATTCAAAATTATTTGTTTAAGAACTAGTTTTGCATTTTTAATAAAAAGTACTTTGCATACAGTAACAGGCCTTCCTTCCCCCATGAAATGCCTTTAAAATTGTATGGACTTTTTGAATATTAAGAAAGATATCTCTTCTTTAATAAGTAAGGAAAGAAGGAGTCAGTGACTTCATAAAACATACCAGTATTTTTTGGTATAGCTTTTCTTCAAAAGCCCAGTTCCTATTCTTGGATTCTAGTTAGTATTTTACTTGTGAGTGTGCAATATCTGGCCAACATTTCATTAAAATGATTAATCAGTAGCTCTCAAAAGGCCAAGATCCTAAAAGCTATATTAAGCATATGCTTTAGACATCCATACATCCATATTTAATACAAATCGCTTTTCAAGCATGACAGTACATGCCAAATGGATTTAAGCTTCTCTCAATGATTTGTAATGTAGTATATAGGAATGATTTATGAAAAACATATAAGATATGAGCATATAAGATCCAGATTGAGATATGTTTGATCATACATTAGTGTACTTTTCCTAGAAGGTTACCATCTAATGATCAGATATGTCAGTTGCAATAGTATATATGAGTTCAAGATGAAAAGTGATTTGCCTAAATATTATTCATTATGTTATATTCATTACATTTCACCCAAGGCTGCAAAATGGCAGTGACTTGTGGAAAGAACAGGAAATAATTATACCTTCAGAAAGAATGAGGTTACAGTTAAAAATTATGTTATGGGCTTTGCATTCTTCCATAAAATGAATGCATTAATACATTTAAAATGCAGCCCTCCTCCTTATAAGAGTTCTGATGTCTTTATAAAACTACAAAATTCTAAGTTTTGTTACTTTACATAAGGTATCGTCAACAAAATGTTGCATGTGAAATAATAATGGGACTTGTTTTTATATAATAGTTTAAATAGAACTGTGTTTGTCGTAACACAAATTATATTTTTGCAATTTGGAAATTAATAACCATCAGCAAACTTACAAATATTTTAGAAACACATATTCATATGTAATGAATAATGGCTGCTAATTTATTGTTTATAAATGATAATATGAATATCTTCACTTACCATTTTCATCTACTGCCTGTACACATGCCCCCTTTGCTAACAATTCCTCAACTACCATCTTCAAGCCATTCTGTGCAGCAATATGAAGAGGTCTAGAAAATGTAATATCTAGATTCAGTAGGTTTGATGTATTTCAAAAAGTCTACTATAATATGCACAGTTTGTTCAAGTGCTTAATTACGTTAAAACACTGTGTGAACTCTGATTGCAAACTGCAAAAGTATAAATTATATGACACTTTACTGTTATCAAAATTGTTAAATAAAAATACATGTTAATTAAAATTATACTCACGTTTGCAATGCATTGTTTTTTGCATTAATAAGGCTCGGTTCTTGTATCTTGTCAAGTATCAACAAGGCACATTTTTCATGACCCTGGAAAACAAACACACACACTATATCTAACTGTATTTGGAACATTCTAAACACATAATTTTTAAATCAGATCTTAGTTAATTATTAAGGAAAGTCTAGCAGATGTGAGAACAGAGATTTCCATCTGAAAACTTTGGAATGCATTAAACTGAAATAATGAGATGCTTTTATTGAAATGTACTTATTAGTTTATTAGATCTTTTCATTCTTTCTAATGGTAGAATTTGTAGCGTGTCTAGGTTTTCCACCCCCGCCAGTGATGTACTGCTGGTGGGGTTGGGGAGACAAATTACAGTAGAATGAAAAATACTGAAAGGCTACCTAACTTGTCCAAGCTTACAAAATGCATGTTGTTATTGCATATCTCTTAATCACCTGCCTCTTGTTTTCTACTTAGGCAAAGCTAACACACTGCAGATTTTTTTTGGGGGGGATACAATCAGTTGCAGCAAGTCATGATATTCAAGCAAAGGAAAAAATGATGTAAATTGTTCTTTAGGTTTAGAGAGTTTTCCTTGCTCTGTAAGCTTCCTCTGTCACCATTCCAACTGTTTGACTCAGTAATGTCTGACTGAAATAAAATTCAAGCAGGGGTGGGATATGACAGGGTTAACTACTGGTTTGGGATTTATGAGCTTCCCTGCACGCTGTGAGACTTGACGCGCACCTGTAAATCGTCATCAGCATGCTGTGTACAGAGACGCAGCCTTTGAAACAGCCCTCTTTTCCTGCTTTTTTTAACTGCAGCTGTGCCTTGTTTGGCAGCTGAAGTTGAAAAATCAGGAAATAAAGATCAAGTAAGAGCCCGGGTGGGCAAAAACATCAGCAGACATAGAACTGGTTCTATGTCTGCTGCTCTTCAGAGCTACTAGTTTTACAGAGGTGGACAGAACCGGTAGAAACCCACCCCTGAATTCAAGTATTGTAAAAATGCTGTTATAAAGCTGGGTTGTTGGTTTTTTTAAATTCACTTTACCTTACTTTGCCTTATTTAAAAGATTTCTTTTGACATCCATCTTAAACACAACTAAATAAAACAAATAGCCATAAAATCATAATAATAAAACCATAAAATTAAATAACAGGAATTCCCTAAGATAAGACAGTGACTATTGCTCACTATCTGCAGGATTATTTCCTTTAAGAATATAATAGTGAAGACTCAGAGAAGCTGATAAGTAAATATATATATAAGTAAACACACACACACACACACACACACACACACACATTATATATACCGTATTTGCCGGCGTATAAGACGACTGGGCGTATAAGACGACCCCTCAACATTTCCACTCAAAATATAGAGTTTGTTATATACTCGCCGTATAAAACTACCCCTCTTCCACACACCTTCCACTTTTGCACTTTTTTTTTTTTTTGGACGCACTTTTCTGCTTTGGACAATTTTGAAATGAGCTAATCCAATTTTGAACCAAGAATATGCCAATAGCTATGGAGTTTAGAAATGAGTTTTAAAAATATTTTTCATTGCTTACCATTAAGCGTAAAATATGTTGTAAATAAAATGAGAACACAGGAAACGTTCTCTTCTCAATACAGCTGATCTCTCTCTCTCTCTCTCTCTCTCTCTCTCTCTCTCTCTCTCTCACACACACACACACACACACCAAAAACCCGGACACTGAAAAGGCTGCCAAGGAACAGTATATTCAATGCCTTCTCTTTAATCAAGAAACAAGGAATTCCTTAGAATCTTTTTTTTTCCCCAAGTGGCCCTCTTTAAAAAAATATATGGAGGTAACACTTTCATTCAAAAAGTCTTCCAGTATCTGGAGTCGCTCAGACATATTGAAGTGAGGCAGGAGAGTAAGTGAAATTTGAAATGATCCAGCTACAGTTTTCTTCCCCTCCCGCCCGAAGGCCATTATCTCCACATCAAAACGAACGAGGGGAGGCAAAGAAGCCAAACACGCTAAAAAGGATCTCTTTATTTTCCTACACAAGGTCACACCTACTTTTCCGCATTCAAAGGACAACCTCTCCTCACCACCACCACACACACACACACACCCCAATACCCGCAAACAATGTTCTGGGCATTAATCACCATTGCTACATTAACCTGGTAAATTTATACCCTGCCTCCCCCAGTGTTGCTTTGACGGCAGGATTTCACACAGCGGGGCGCTCGCTCGCTCTCTTCTCCGCTCTCCCACCGTTCGCACATGTTGGAAGCACCGTAAAACCTGATAACCCACCCGGGGGCTCCCCCATCCTTAACCTACAGCCGCCCGCATGCAAAACCTGCGTGCAAAAAGAAAAAAAGAAAAAGAAAAGTACGCCGCACGTGAGGAACTTCGAATCCTCTCCTCCCCACACCGCTAAGGAAGGAAGAGGGGGAAAGGTTGCGCAGCGCGTGGCGAGTGACACCCGCCACACACACACACACACACACACACACACACTGCTCCCCCCCCAGCCTCCCTCCCGGCTGCAACTCAAGCTCGAAGTGGGAGTCGGAGTCCTCCCGGCGTATAAGACGACCCCCCCACTTGGAGGCATGTTTTTCAGGGCAAAAAAGTCGTCTTATACGCCGGCAAATACGGTATATATAATTTGTTTTCTGAGGTTCTCGCGGGTATTTGTATGTGGATCTTTGGTTATTCGGGTTTTCTCCCGCGTAAGATTGGAAGTATCTAGGCAACGTTTCGATGAAGTCTCATTCATCATCTTCAGGCTTGTGTCTTCGGCTCTGTGCTTCTCAGAGTGATGTGAGCTTGCAGCTGCTTCTTCCTTTTAACTGCTAGTGGGGGTGTGACTTGATTGGGTGGGGGCTTGGCTGTGTTCTGATTGGGTGGGGGGGTGTTCTCATTGGTTGGGGGTTTGGCTGTGTTCTGATTGGTTGGGGGGTTGGCC